CTCTGGGTCAGAGGAGAAGAGGGCTGTGCTCCCCGTCCTTCCCGACCTCGTCCCCAGAGAGTTCACAGCTGCTTCATCCAGATGCCCCAAAGCTTTCCTGGACCTCTGCCAGGACTCCAGCTCCCGACCATCAACAGCTACTGTGAGGTCTCAGCTGGGATGCTGCCTGGGTGCCCCAGACGCTGTGACATGGGAAGGAGGCAGAGGGTGCAAGTCATTTGACCCCCGGGGAAACAGAGGCACAGGGAGAGGCTTCTTTTGGCCCCCTTGTTGGAGGGGAACCTTCATCCTCCCTCCTATTCAGGATGCAGTTTGCCTGGGCCTGGATGCCGGCCCGTCCAAGCCCTGGATGCACCTTCGGAAATCAGGGATGGGACCTCCGGGAAGGCGCAGCAGTGACCAGGTGCACCTTCCTTCCGGGAGCCCACTCTGCCAACAGGAAAGGCATAGGAGACGCAAACTCGACAGTGAAAACAACGGGTGGTGTCCTCCGCAGTCAAGGCACATCCATACAGACGTGGAAAACGAGGCTGGAGTGAAGTCTTTGCTCAGATGTCACCTGCTTGGTGGGACCCACCTGGGTCAGGCCCCTTATTCAAAGCTGCAACACCCCCTGACCTAGTTTCATTTTTTTTCCATCACACTTATTCTAACATACACCTTTTACTCATATATCATATTTACTGTCTATCCCCACGAGAGCAGGGATTCAAGTCACTGCTATGTCTCAGAGCCTAGCATAGTGCCAGGCACAGAGCAGGTGCTCAAAGATATTGAATGAACAAGTTAACAAACAAATCAACCAATCAATCAATGGCGAAGTAGTGACTGACAAAGAAGCAGGCAGAGAGGAGGGAACCATCTGCTCCCAGACCTGGAAGTGCCACAGAAAGGGACATGAAACAACAGGGGCCTCCTTGGAAGTCTGTGCATGAGGACAGAGACACCCTGCCCTGCCCATTGCTCAGACCATGGGGTAGCTATGGGTCTTTCCTTCCATCCAAAGTGTCAACAAATTTTGAAGGTTTCTCTTTCAAAAATTGATGTCCCTAGATAAGAAACGTTCATACTCTACTCTTTCAGTGTTCTCCCAGCACAGTGCAGCTTCCCATCCCATCACCCCAAAGCAAATGCCACCACCGGAAAGCGGTATTGGGGGACAGTGGGCAGCCTGGGCTGAATGCCTGAAGATCCACTTACTAGCTTCCAGCTTTGTGGAGATTATTTTACCTCCTTGCGCCTCAGTTTCCTAATACATGAAATGGGTACACTGATCAGACACATACTTCTTAGGGCTGTTATGAGACCAGGAGTTAACAGTGTGCCCAGAATAGCGTCTGGCACACTGCAAGTGCCCAGAAAATGTTATGTTACCATATTATCATGTTTATGGACAAGTCACCTCCAGCTCCTGTCAGCTTGCACTGTTCTCACCCTTAAACTCAGTGTGAACAAAGAGCAACAGACATTAGGAAATCAAGATGAGCGATCAGGAAACAAGATCACAGGCTGCTGCTGCCACCTGCTGATCAGCACTGGGACTGGCAGGTGCTGACTGAAGGTGGAGTTCTCCAGCTATCTGCTGTCTGGGGAAGGGACTGGCATGTGCGTCTGCCAGGGGCTTATAAGGGGACCCCAGACAATCATCACAGCAATGTTCTGTGGTAGGGAATATGGGCAATGAGGACAGAAAGTGATGGCCGGCCCAGTGGCGCACTGCTACAGTGCGCCACTTGGGAGCGCGGCAGCTCTCCCGCCGAGGGTTCGGATCCCACATACAGACCGGTTCCCGCTCACTGGCTGAGCGAGGTGCGGGCGCAACACCGAGGGTTGCGATCCGTTGCTGGTCACGAAAAAAGAGACAAAAAGGAAAAAAAAAAAAAAGAAAAAAGAAAGTGAATAGACAGGTTCTTTTCTTAAATTTGACATGGGCTGACTCCTGCCCTTGGGCGAAGTGGAACTGCATTTGTCGCTGGGAGGTCGGGATGGAGCTCCCAGTAAGCAGGAGAGCACATGTACACACACACACACATACACACGCACACAGACATACACACACAGATACATGCAGATACATACACACACATAAATACAAACACGCACGACACACATATACACACGCACATTTGGTAAACCCCTGGCAGAAGTGGGTCGGGGGCACAAGGGACAGATGGGTGGTCAGGGGAGGCCAGAGGGCAGGAAATCCCTCAGCTGAGGAATCAAGTCTGGAAGGGAGCGAGGGGGACTCAGGAGATGGCTGGAGGCAGCAGACTGAGCCTGCTCTGAGAAGAGCAGGGAGAAGAGCCAGAGGCTGAGCCCCAGAAAGCAGCCCCGAGGACGCTCCGTGAAGCAGGGTCTGCATGGGAGGAAACCCGGCATCAGCTCAAATACTCACCAGTAGGGAAAAGAGTGAATAAATTCAGGGCAGCAATACTGGAGAGCACTCTGCAGGTGTAGGAGGCAGCTGTCCACATGCTGAAAGACGTGCAAGGGAGTCGCTGAGTGAAAGAGCGAGCTGCACTTGATGGCACAGCTCATATAAAAACGGCATCACAGGCTCATGTCTCCCAGGAATGCACAGATATGTATGTAAAGGCAGAGAAAGGGTCTGGGAGGGCCCCTGAAGGAGAGGGGCCCCGAAGGCTTTAGCTGTATCTGTAATGCTGTTCATGTTTAAAAGAGAATGAATTAACGTATTGCTTATCTAAAGAAAAAGGACAAAGAATTGAATAAAGAGGGTGAGACTGCGGAGGGGTGGGGAAACTGAGGACACAAAGCCAAGGGTGTGTGCGGGCCCGGGATCCCAACCCTGTGTGGGTGACCAGCCAGCTGTGAGATGTGCCCATCTGGGCTCAGTGCCCCTCCCACCTCCCTGAGTGAGAAGTGATAGGTGGGGTATGACCTAGACTGTGACCTAGCACTGCTCTGGCAGCTGCGAGGGGCAGTAGAGCCATTTTTGCCTTGTCATGGGGTTTATTTGGTAGTTAGTGCTTAACATTTCTTCTAAGTTTGAGTTTCTTCACAGCCTGGGTATGCTCATTTTAGTTTTTCCAGTTGCCACCACTCCCTAATTGATGGAGTCTGGATGTGTTGTCCCCTCCAAAACTCATGTGGGAGTTTGATCTCCAATGAGGCAGTGTTGGAAACTGATTGAGTCATGGGGGCGGATCCCTCATGAATGGATTAATGCTCTCCCTGAGGGAGGGGGGATTGATGAGTGAGTTCTCGCTCTATTAGTTCCCACAAGAGCTTGTTGTTTAAAAAGACCCTGGCACCTTCTCTCTCACTCTCTTGCTTCCTCTCTCCATGTGATCTGCTTGTACCCGCCAGCAGCCTGCCGCTTTTCCATCATGAGTAGAAGCAGCCTGAGGCCTGTGCCAGATGCAGCTGTCCGAGAATTGTAAGCCAAATAAACCTCTTTCCTTTATAAATTACCCAGTCTCAGGTATTTCTGTTATAGCAACACAAAACGGACTAAAACACTAATGTTTAACCCGAGGTCCCCTTCCTCTCATTTATGTCACCTGCCTGGCCTCTGGAGCCATCTCAGTTCACAACTTCTGGTCTGCACTGTGGTTTCTGGAGACCTTTGTGCAGAGCTTAGAAGGGAAGAGAGCTACCTCGGATGGACAGATGGAACGTGGAGAGGTGGATGGATGGACTAGTGGGTAGGTGAATGGATGAATGGATGGACAGGTGGGTGGGTGGATGGATGGATGGACAGATGGATGGATGGATAGGTGGGTGGGTGGACAGGTGGATGGATGGATGGGGGGTTGATGGGTAGGGGGAGGGAGGGAAAGAGCAGATCATCCTCAGGCAGAATGGCTGAGGGAATGTGGAGTGGCATCACAGAAGCCCCCTCTCTGCTTGAGAGCCAAACCCCTCACCCCTATGTCCCGTCTCAAACATGTGCTCAGACTGTCCCTCATCTAGGAGGCAAAGGGAAGGAAATAAACAGCCGAACCCTACTATGTGCACTTGGTACCTTCAGCCCACCTGGCCTTTCCTCAGGGAGGATATCCTGCCCCCATCTTCCAGATGGGAAAACTAAGGCTGAGATGTGAATGTCAGGACCAGAATTTAGAGAAACAGCTGCTGGATTCCCAAACCTATCTTTCTCCCATCACATAGTGCACTGCCTAATAACGAACTTTCATACAGTATTTTCTGTTCATCAAGCAGATCACAACCAATATTTTACTTAATCTCCTCAAGAAATCAGTAGAACACTATTTTTTAATACTTGAGTGAATATGAAAAGAGGAGAAAAAATGATGCCAAGACTTGACAAAGCTTTGCTGTGCTGGGGTTCACCCTCTAGACTCCAATCCCCAAGACCTCACCCAGCCCCTCCTTACCTGGATGTCTGGCCAGGAGTGACCAGGGCCCCCTGGTAGAGGGAGGACGGAAAACCCAGGGTTGAAAGTTGGGCCAGGTCAGGGGTCACCAGTCCAATGTCCTGAGGGGCTTTGTAAGTGAGAAAAGCTGTGGTTGGGACCCTGGTGAAGGGGAGGCTTGTCCCACCTGCAGGGAGCAGCCTGCACTCAGCACTTCCAGTGTGGCATGCAGAAAAGTTAAGACCTCCATTGCTAGAACTTTCCATTTTTCAAGAGAAGACAGAAATGTGAAACCTCCAAATATTTTAGATGTTGGGAACTGAAAAAAAAAAATTCAACCTCTTTGAGCTAAAGAGAACTCCAAGGGGCCAAGTGCATCCCGCACGCCTGCAACCTCTGTGATCTCTGTGACCTGTGGACAGCACTGGCCATGCAGAACCGGCTGCGGGTTGGGAGCTGATCTGCGAAGGTGGTGGGCTTTTAAGGGTGAGGAGGTGATGAGGGGCTGTGCAGCCCCTCTCCATCCCAAAGACCACCACTCGCCCCAGCGCCCTCCCACTTTTTTTGGTTTTCCTGGGAATGGCCATTCCCAGCGGTGCCACAGCTGAGAGCAGGGAGTCCCCCAGGGGTCAGCAATTCTTTAGGAAACACAAAACTGGATGCCTTTTACTTCACTTTAATAAAAAATAAATAAATACATGCTAGGGGGATGTTTTCCTTAAATGAGGAAAGAGGGTAAAAGAAAATGAAACAAAATCAAAACCTACAGGGATCCCTCACTTCTAGCTGGCAGGAAATCACCAGCCAGAGCCGAGAGAGAAGGTCAGGTGCGAGAGGAGAGCGTCTCTCTTACAAGGCTAAGAAGGGGACTTCTGGGCAGCTCAATCCCAGCCTCCGGGGGCAGAACACCCTGCCTGGAGAGGAGGCGCAGTCTCTGCTGGGCCCTGCCACAGGGCACACCCCCACTCTCCATGGCAAGCCTCCCACGTGGCCCTTCTGCTCGGGGCACTCGGGGAGGCAGAGGGAGTCTGCCGTGGGGCTGGGGTCTGGAATGTGAGGTGTGCAGGGTGAAGTGAAGGCCGGCGGCCCCCACTGGCCCACGGATGATGACTGAGGTCCACACATTAGGCTCATGCCTGGGAAGGCAGCCACCCCTTGGAAGCCCCTGGGAGACAGATAAGCCCCCCAGAGCCTCTCAAACTACCACCACCCGGGTTCCAAAACCAAGCCCTGAAGCAACGTGTAAGAGGCCGTGGGAGGAGGAAGCAGAAGGGACCAAAGTCGCCTGGCAGCTGTGCCACCACGTCCCAGCCCAGCTGGAAGATGAAGCACCAAGTCTGGGTGCAATGAGCAGGGTCTCAAGGGCAGCCCTGGAAGAGAATGGGCCAGAGTTCCAGGACAGTGGGGACGACTATCAGGCTATGGCTAGAGCAGCCACCCCCTGCTGCAGGAGGCTCAGCACTGGGGCACCAGTTGGGTCTGCAGACCAGCAGGCGGGCATGGCATGGCAGGCGGTGGCTGGGAATGGATGTGGTAACCACAGCCACCCTATAAGTGGATCCACTTGTTCCAGTTGACCTCATGGGGGAACACGCGGCCCAGCCGGAGGGTGCAGTCCAGCGTGGGCTCGTAGAACACCAGGGGGCTCTCGCTCTGGCTGGAGGGTGCCTCCGCCTCTTCCATCACGGGCTTAGAGAAGAGCGAGGCGGCTGGTTTGGAGAAGAGTGAGGCGGCTGCAGGCTTTCTCAGCAGGCGCTTCTGGATGCAGCCAAGGAACTCCAGGCCCTGCAGGAGAGAGACAGACACTCAGGTTCCAGGGCGCGCCACCCTCCCTTGTCTGTGCATTCATCCTTCCAGCATCTGCGGAACAGGCAGCTGCTTCCCAGAGCAGGGGACACCTGAAGCTGGCCTTGAGAGACGAGTAGGGATTTACCAGGACAGTTTAGACAAAAGGCTGGGGCAGGAGAGGGAACAGCATGAGCAGCATTTACATAGTGGTTGGGGCCAGGGGCTTTCCGTGGGCCCACACTGGCTTCCAGATGGGGTTATTTGGCCTCTATGTGCTTTAACATTCAGGAAACTTTGCACTGAACTTCAAGTTTCCACCTTCGCCAGGAGCTGGAGCCCCAGGCACACTGGGCCACGGGAGCACAGGGAAGCCATCACCCGAGCTGGGGCACAGCTGCCCTCTCTTGGGAAGCGGTGGGCATAGAGTCTGCATCACAAAGCTACCTGCCAGGCTGCCGTGGGCTTGTGAGCTTGTGAGCCCTGGTATAGAGAAAGTGTCAGAGACAAGAGTCCCAAGAATGCCCATCCTGTGTGGGCAACAGCACAGAGCTGGTGAGAGCCACTGTGAGGGGCAGCCCGAGGGCAGGAGCCCTGGGCAGGGCTGGCGGTTGCAGGGCTGGAGGCAGAGGGGGAAGTGTGCAGGGGCCACAGTTCGACTGGCAGGACATGACTTCATGGGGGCCTCAGATGCACTTGGCAGAGCCTCCCTGCCAAGGGTAGGGAAAGGGCTGAAGGTCAGTGTGAGGTGGGGACACCCACAGCAGAAGGCTCCTGGGGGGGTTGGCCGCATGCCTGTGGGCAAAGCCTGCAGGCGGCAGCCACCAACCCTCCATCCCCAACATGCGCACCTGGAGCAGCTCGAGCACGGCGACAGGCTGCAGGACGCCCTGGTAGTGCTGCAGCAGACAGCTCTCGGGCACGCCAGGCCTGGTCATGATGTGGTACAGCACGGCCTCCATCATGCCCTTGCACACCGGCGTGTTCAGCTGGCCGTCCACCACGCGCCACGGGCGGCCCACGAAGCGGACACTCTCGCAGTCCCTACAGGGCAGGCAGTTGGCATCAGGGCTCGGTGGGGAAGGGAGGGACAGCTTGTTCGCAGACAGGACACTGAGGCTCAGGGGGCTGGGAGCCTGGCCCAGGTCACAGGACTGCTCTCTGCCCATTCTTCTCCCCTCCTGTCTGGACAGAGTGGAGCCATGATGTGGAGACCTGCTCGGACTCAGCCATAACCAAGGCCATGATGAGTCAATGACCCTCACGTCACTCTACCCCACCAGGAGTAGGACAAAAGTTAGGGCTCATGGATTTTCCAGGCCCACCAGCCCCCGGGGCCAGTTCTGCCTCCCCTCGGCCAAGCTCACAGAAGTCTCACCCAGAAACTCTGCTTCTGTGCTGCGTGGAGGCTTCCAGACGTACTTTCCTTTGGAGAAAGCTTTCTGCTACTAAACCAGGGACTGATCTGCCACACAGAACCCAGGTGGGGGACAGACCTGACTGGCTGGTCACTTGACTCTGGCCGCTGTGGCTGGACCCTGGGAGGGCCACGCCTGGGCTCTCAGGAGCCAGGACACAGGGCAGCTGGGCCTGGCAGTGGGAGTCACCCCTCACCAGAAGGTCTTCTGTGGACCTCGAGTGTGGAGAGGGCCACCAAGGTGGCTCTTCTGGCTCTGGAGGGCAAGACCCTCCTCATATCCGTGCACCTGCCCCCGTGTTACCTCTTAACTCCAGGCACAGTCATCCTGGGGGGTAAGGTGCAAATCCCAACAGTGGAAGCTGCCCTGGCTGGCAGGTGGGAGCTCTGGGTTAATCTGGCCACAGCTGGCTGGCCATGTGACCTTGGGCAGGGCTCTCTTAGGGACCCTTCCCCTTCTGAACAATGGGGAGGGGGATCCCTGCAGGCCATGAGGAGGCCCCAGAGATGCACATGGGAAAGCTCCACTCATGGTTCTCAGCAATGGCCAGTCTGCAAGCACGGCTCTTGGCTCTAGACCCTGCACACGTCCAGCACATCTGACCCTCGCCCACTACATTCTTCCCAGTGTCTTGCTGAGAACCAGTGTGCTAGGCAGACTGCCTCAGCCGGCATCTCCGTGAGACACCCTCATGCTAATCACTGACAGTCACTCGGTGCCCCATCTGGGAACCCTGAGGACAGGCGCCCCACACTCCTGCCCCGCCCCAAGCCCCTGAGCCAGATCATACTCACCTTTCCTGGGCTGCTTGGGAGAGGCTGCCAGCCACAGAACTCTCTGTAAATCCTGACAAAGGCGGAGAAGTAGGAGATGTAAAAAGTAGGAGCCCAACCCTTCCTCCCCATTCCTTCCAGAAGGTACTGGTTGGCCAGCATGGGCAGGCACACATAGGCTCTAGGGATGGAGCAGTGAGCAGGGCACTAGGACCCCTCTCCTCACAGGCATCCCTGCTCGTGGTGGCTGGGCTGTGGAGGCTGAAGCCAGAGCACTCCGCTGCAGCATGCAAGCATACGGGCTTGCTCCCAGGCCCCGAGGACCCCCACACCAGAGGGAACCAGTGAACACCTCATTTTCCAACCAGAAGCCCTGACTACAAAGCACATGTATAAATCTCTTAGGGAAAATGCCCCAAAGCAAACAAAAACACCGGAAACACATGAAAAGGCCACAGCTGACTACAAGTAAGACTGATGCGGCAGGGGAAGAGCGTGTTTCAGGACATGTGTGTCCCAAGTCCCTACAGGGCCGAGGCCCCGGACACCTCAGCACACGCAGCTCCCCAGAATCACTGCATGCCTGCCCCGTACTTCACAGATCTCTGCAGGGGTTTGGGAAAGCGTCTGCCCTCTAGTGGGAACACATTTATAAGATCTGCTTCCCCCTCAGGGTTTAAGCCATGAAAAGCTGAAATGAAGCCCCTCTTGTGGCCGGCGCAGGTTCCCACTCTCGGAGTAAAGTGTCGGGCCAATCAGGTCTGAGGACAGAGAGCAGGCGGGGTGGGGTAAGGTGATGAAGGGGACAGGTCGGTACCTCTGGGGTCTTCAGAGACTTCTGGGAGCTGCTGTTGGCCTGAGGAGCTGGGTGCCCTGACACCCTCTTGGTCCTCCTTCCCAGCGCCCCCTGCAGCTGTGTCTGCAGGAGCCAAGGGTGCAGCCAGGGCTTGGCTCTCTGCGCCCTCCTCTGCTCTGGGCCTCAGGGTGGGGCCCGAGCGCAAGTCCTGGAGTGTGGGCTTCTTTGCGGGGGGCTTCTGGGCACTCTCAGCATCAGGCTGCCTGCTCTGGCTGGAGCGCCTCTTGGCACTCCGGGGACCCTGAAAAGCCAGTGCCTGCTCCACAGGGGGACCATCCTTGCTGGAAGGCCCCTCCGGGGGTCTGGCCTGGGTGTCCTCTCTTTGAGCATCAGCGTCCTCTTTGCCTTTTAGCCGCACCAAGTGCAGGAGCCAGGGATGGGCAGAGGCCATGGCCACCAGGCGAATGGTGTTGCCACCAACTTCCAGCACCTGGTGTCGCTCCAGGAGGTCCTGAGAAGAGTAGGAGACACACAAGGTCTGTCTGGGAACCCAGGATGGTCGGGTTTGCTCACTGGTGATGCACGGAGTTGTCTCCCCTGCCTGGTGTGGTGAGTGTCCTAAGCAGATAGCAAGCCCAGTTTCATCAGGACAAGGCCTGGTTTCTAGCCCAGGGTTGCCACCACCTAGCTTGTGACCCTGGGCAGCGTCTGCCCCTCCCCAGCCTCAGCATGGCTACTCATAAAACCAGTCAGCTGCATGAGCCTTGTGCAACCCTGCTGCACCCTCCAAGCTGATGGGACATCACAAGCCTCCCTCTGCCTGGCCAAGGCCCTCCCATGGGACCCGACTCCCCATGTCCTCCCACAAAAGCCGTTCTACTCCCATGTGAGTGACAAGAACCCCTCTCATCTTTATACCACACCTGCTTGCAATGGCCTGGCTCCTATCCAGGGGGAGCACAGGGGTCACTGTCACCTGTCTTTTTATTTTTACATAAAACCCCCATAACTCAGGGTTTAAGGAATTTTCCCCAGTTGACAGCCTGGAGCCAGGACTCACTTCCAGGTGTGTGGGTCTGAGGGGTTTTGCTGAGAGCCTTGCCATCTGGGCCCTGGGCGGGGCCGGCCAGCATGGCCTTGGGGAAAGCCCCATCCCTCTCTGAACTTCGGCTCCCCTCCCAGGGCTACAGATGCACCCAGAGTCTATGAACAATTAAACACCATGTGCACCGTATTTCCTGCACTCATAATGACTCGTTTGATAATGACAAACAGTGGCTTCCATCTGAATCTGGGGAAATGAGAGGTGGATGATTTCCCAGAACAGCCCTGTCCTCTGGGGCTCGCAGCCCTTGGAGTCAGCAAGGCCCAAGCCAGCCGCTCCTCCCTCAGGAACAGTGCAAGGCAGATGCCTCCACATGCCACTAACAACTGACACAATGACTGATACCTACCAACCACTGACATGCCCAGGAGGACACGTCAGGTCCCAGGGGATGCAGCTTTAAAGTCCCAGTGTTATTACATCATTGGGCTTAAGGATATGACTCAGTGGAACCAGGCAGGTCAAGTGGTGAGTAAAGCCGAGCGGGTGCAGGATGTCAGGGAAGGTGGGGATAGCGAGAGCCGGGAGGACAGGCCCGGTCTGGGGCTTGGAGGCAGCCACTGCTGGGCTCTAGCTGCGTGTGCTGAAGAAACAGGGCTTGATGTGGACAGATCTTCTAACATTCAGGACAGGCTGGATTTTAGGTAATATGTCCTGATTAGTACATGTTGACAACTAATTCAATTTTGTCATAACACACTATAATGTGACCCACGGCGAGCCCATCTGCCGTGTGCGTCTGGCCTGTGGGCTGCAGCTTCTGCTTTGGAGGTATCAGGCTGACTCATGGCTCACCTGGATATAGTCTGTGAACTTCCTGGTGCGCTCACCACCTGTCTTCTCAAAGGCCCAGAATTGTCTACTCAGCTCCTCCTTGTCAATCCCAAAGCAACCCGTGGCTGCCACGGCCCTCCAGATCTCCAAGGCTGCAGACACGTCTTCAGGTTTATACCCAGACAGCTCCACCTGCTGGACAAACTCTTCCCAGAGGCAGGTGTTTTCCTGGGGGTCTATCAGCCTGGTGAATTTGTCAGGGAGGCAGGAGGTTCCCACCTTGAGCTCTTCCAGAGGAGTGCCTGCGAAGACCAGGAAGAAGAGCAAAGTTAGCCCCACAGAAGCCCCTCCCCAGACCAAGACACACGTGATACTGAGGCAGGACACACTCCAGCACCAACTCCCTACTCCCTGAACAGCCACAGGGGTCACCTTCAGGTGGATAAGTTGGGCCCCTGGCAGTCAGGTTCCTAGTACTTGATCCTGGGTCCCTGACTGCCCCTGACTGGACAGGATGCCCCCTGGCTGGTATGAGTCTCCTATTCAAGATGTAAGGTTAAGGGCACAGGGGCAGGGAATTGGAATCTGAAAAACATACACCGCAGAGCTCTGGAGGTGAGGCCCTCGACTCTGGCTGTCCTGGGCCCATCCCTTCCTGATGCTCACGTATCCACTGCTCCTTAGACCCCACGAGATACCCAGGGTCCTTCTAACACAGTCCTATGTTTGCCCAGGCTAGCCAGGGCTGGCTTCTGGTGCTTCCTATAAAAGGTGTCTCTGCTAAGATCACATCTGTAGGTTATCACTACATTTTTGCCCAATCCAACCTCCAGACAAAGCAAAGAATTCTAACTATGGTTACAAAACCAATGGTAAACAACACTGATGTCAATGATGTCCACAGAAAGGACAGTCAACCAGAGCTAGGAAAGAGCAGGAAGGAGGAAGAGAAGTGCAAGGAAGGGGAGGGGCCTGAGGATTCTCATTTCATATGGTGGGAGCAAAGACTGCCTGAAATGGAGGGTGGGAGAAACGGAGGGTTGAGGACATTATTTAAAGTGTCAAGTGTAATCAACAGATGAACTAAAAAAGGGTCAAAATTGGAAGTAAAGGAGACGAGAGATCATGTTGTGAACAGAATACTCATCTTTCACAGTGATGGGTCAAAAGATAATAATTAAAAATGTCATAAAAGTGTGTGACATAGAGTTGTGCAGATAGCCAGAAGACTAAACACAGGAACAGTGAAAAGTTCCCTGTGGAGAGCAGGCCAGGGTGGGGAGGAGACTGCAGCTTTTCCTGATAATCCTCTCTGGTTGGCTGTGTGTAATTGCACCCTGATGCATGACCTTGATTAAAAGCCAGAAAGAGAAGCACAAACCAAACCCAAAATAAGAGAATGCGAATAATAAAAATCAGAGCAGACATAAGTGAAATTGAGACTAAAAATACTATACAAAAAATCAATCAAACAAAAAGTTGATTTTTTGAAAAGATGAAATTGACAAACCATCATCTAGACTAACCAAGAAAAAAAGAGAAAGACTCAAATAAAGTCAGAAATACAAAAGGAGACATTACAATGGATACCTCCAAAATACAAAGGATTACTAGAGACGATTGTGAGCAATTATATGCCAATAAATGTGAAAACCTAGAGGAAATGGGTAAATTCCTGGACAAACATGACCTACTAACACCAAACCAAGAAGAAACAGAAAACCTGAACTGATCAATAACAAGCAATGAGATTGAAGCAGTAATAAAAAGTCTCCCAACAAAGAAAACCCCAGGACCAGATAGCTTTACTGCTGAATTCCACCAAACATTTAAAGAATATCAATACTTCTTAAACTACTTCAAAAAATTGAAGTAGACAGAATTCTTCCAAACTCATAGTACAAGGCCAGCATTACCCTGACACCAAAACCAAGCAAGGACACAACAAAAATAGAAAACTACAGGCGAACATCCCTAATGAACATAGATGCAGAAATACACAATAAAATACTAGCAAACTGAATCCAATGGCACATCAAAAAAATTATACACCCTGATCAAGTAGGATTTATCTCAGGCATGTAGGGATGGTTCAACATATGCAAATCAATAAATGTAATACATCTCATCAACAGAATGAAAGAAAAAAACCATATGATCATCTCAATAGACACAGAAAAAGCACTTGATAAAATTCAACATCACTTCATGATAAAGACTCAACAAATTAGGAATAGAAGGAAAGTATCGTAATACAATAAAGGCTATACATGACAAGCCCACAGCTACTGAATGGAGAAAAGGTGAAAGCTTTTCCCCTAAGAACTGGAATAAGAGAAGGATGCCTGCTTTCACCACTTTTATTCAACATAGTTCTGGAAGTCCTAGCTGGAGCAATTAGGCAAGAGAAAGAAATAAGAGGCATCAAAATTGGAAAGAAGGAAGTCACTGTACCTGTTTGCAGATGACATGATTTTATATAGAGAGAAACCTAAAGATTCTACCAAAAAACTGCTAGACCTGATAAACAATTCAGTAAAGTTGCAGGATACAAAATCAATAACATTTCTATACACCAACAACAAGCAGACAAAGAAATCAAGAAAGCAATCCCATTTACAATAACACAACAACAGGAAATACCTAGAAATAAATTTAACCAAGGAGGTGAAAGATCTCTATAAAGAAAACTATAAAACACTGATTAAAGAAATTAAAGAAGACACACCCAAAAAATGGGTTCATGGACTGGAAGAATCAATATGGTCAAAATGACCACACTACCCAAAGCAATCTACAGATTCAATGCAATCCCCATCAAACTACCAATGACATACTTCACAGAAACAGAAAAAACAACTCAAAAATTTATACGGAAACACAAAAGACCCCTAATAGCCTAAGCAATCCTGAGCAAAAAGAACCTGGCTTCAAAATATACTACAAAGCTATAGTAATCACTACAGCATGGCACTGGCACAAAAACAGTCACATAGACCAATGGAACACAATAGAGAATCTAGAAATAAATTCACTTTCCTAGAGCCAACTGTTTTTTGACAAAGGAGCCAAAAACGTACACTGGGGAAAGGACAGTCTCTTCAATAAATGATGCTGGGAAAATTGTACATCCATAAGCAGAAGAATGAAACTAGAACTCCGTCTCTCAAAATATACCAATATCAACTCAAAATGGGTTAAGGACTTAAATGTATGACCTGAAACTATAAAACTTCTAGAAGAAGACAGAGGGGAAATGTTCAGGACATAGGACTGTGCAAAGATTTTATGAATAAGACTTCTAAAGCACAGACAACAAAAGAAAAAATAAACAAATGGGATTATACCAAACTAAAAAGCTTCTCCACAGCAAAGGAACAACAGAGTGAAGAGACAACCTGCAGAATAGGAGAAGGTATTTGCAAACTGTGTGTCCAACAAGGGATTAATATCCAGCATATACAAAGAACTCAAACAACTCAATAGTAAAAAAACCCAAATAATCCAATTAAAAGATGGGCAAATGAGCTGAATAGACATTTCTCAAAGGAAGACATACAAATGGTCAATAGGTATATGAAAAAATGCTTGACATCACTAATCATCAGAGAAATGCTAATCAAAACCACAATGAGATATCATCTCACCTCAGTTATAATGGCTATTATTAAAAAGACAGAAAATAACAAATGCTGGCAAGGATGTGGAGAAAAAAGAACTCACACATTGTTGGTGGGAATGGGAATTAGTATAGGCATTATGGAAAACAGTCAGGTTTCTCAAAACACTAGACTACGGAATGCAAGAACTACCATACAATCCCACTACTGACTAGGAATCTATCCGAAGGAATGGAAATTAACATGTCAAAGGGATATCTGCACTCCCATGTTTACTGTAGCTGTATTCACAATACCCAAAATTTGGAACCAACCTAAAAGTCCATCAGTGAAAAACTGGATAAAGAAAATGTGGTATATACACACTGGAATACTACTCAGCCATAAAAATGAATAAAATTCTGCCATTTGCAGTAATTTACAGCAACACGGATAAGCTTAGAGAAAATTACGTTAAGTGAAATAAGCCAGGCACAGAAAGAGGAATACAATATGTTCTCACTCATATGTGGAAGCTAAAACAGTTATCTCATAGAAGTAGAGAGTAGAATAGTGGTTACTAGAGACTAGTACACTCCTTGGCTTGGCTGCCGGGACAGGAGTGTTTTTCTGTGTCAGCTGTGGCTATGCACCTGGCCTCTGGTCTGGGTCACGGATGGGTGTGAGGATCTTCCCCATTCCCCCCAGCTACAATGGGGAGCACTCACCAGTGGGCCCTAGCTGGGTGGGCGCAGGGGTTTGGCGCAGCCGGAACTTCACCTGGCAGGAGTTGATCACGATGTTGTCGTTGGGGTTGAGGTTGCGGGTGCTGACGATGCCGGGGCAGTAGTAGCCCCTCATCAGCAGGAAGTTGGTGTGGGAGGCCTGGCGGGCTTTCACCTCAACGTTGCGGCGCTTGCCCCCTGCCCCTTCATCCAAGTCTTCCTCTTCATCCTCCTCATCATCCAAGGCCCCATCCTTCCCCATGCTAGAAAAGAAGGGGGACCTAGCTGACCACACACAGGCCCAGGCGTCTCTGCTCCGCCTGGGTCCTCTGTGGCTCAGCCTCGGCGGTGGCTGGAGATAGCTGTGGCCATCCCTGGTAGCGGCTGTGCCTCATCACGTGAAGGATGGCGTGGACTGCTGCTCTAGACTCCTGCCCCTCATCATCTCCCACGCACATGCTGACCCCTCTGCTCACACCCATGTCTCTGCAAGGGCTGTTCCATCACCTGGAAAACCTTCCCAATACCTTCTCTGCCCAAGAAACACCTCTCCCTTCGCCCTGGACTCCCAACTCAGCTACAGTGCCCTCGAGGAACCTCGAACAACCCTACCTCCTCCTCTTACCTCTCCCTGCCATGCTGCCCTGTGTCCTTCTGTCTGGCAGATTCCCACAGTACCTGAGAGGTCCCAGCAGACTATGTGGACATTGTACTGTAATTCCTAATTGCTGGTCTGTGAAGCCCTGTCCCCATGAGTACCTAAAGCCACCACTACACCTTGCTTGCCTTTGTCTACCAAATGCCTGGCAAATGCCAGACACAAAGAGAGAAACTCAATACATGTTGTTGAGTGAATAAAGAACAGCTGATTGAGCAAATAAAATTGCAAATGCCACAGCCATGAAGAGACATGATGATGCCTTAGTTTCCATGAACATGCTCAAACCCAAACTGCCGTCAGAGCAGCGTGCGTGGTGGCCCAGCATCCCAGCTGCTGCTGCTGCTGGCTCTTACCTTTTAATGACTTCATTCTCCACCATCGAACTGTCCACCACGATGATCTGCTCTGGAATCCTGACATCCACGGAAATAAGGCCCAGGGAGAAAAGGGTCAGGGCGGCCACACAGTGTCCTCCAGGACAGTCCAAAGAAAATGCCACCAGGTCATTTGTGGAGTCATTACCCTGGTCTTTGAAAGAAAAATTATCAGGCTGGTCCAACTTGCCGGCAGCTCGGATTCTGTCAAAGAACTGGAACGATTCTGTGCAGATAGTGCTCGGAAATCTCCATGTAAAAATCCTGCACAGACAGAAACAAAGTAAGTGCCTGACTGGGGACGGGCTGTTGGGAGCCTTCATTAGGACAGGCTGTGAGCAGGTCAAATCCTTTCTAAACACACCAACCTCTGCCTGATGCCCTCTTTCCCATCTGAAATGAAGGCACTGCTGTGTCTTCCCCACTCGCCTGAGCACCTTCAAGGCGGGGTCCTATCCCTTACCTGACCAAGGAGGCCCTCCCCAGTGCTCTGCCCTCACAGCATGCATGATAATCAGACCAGGGACTATGCGTGTGCTTTCTGCAATAATAATCTTTACACAAAACCAGCTCTTATCTCATACAGAGATGAGAGGACACACAGGTTTTCTATCTCATTATCTCCATAAGGTGACTCCAGAGAGTCAAGCCATGACCCTGTAGCAATGGCAGACAGAAGGGACCCAAGAGGTCTTCCTGATCTGCTGGCCACCCGCCTTCAGTCACAGATGAGGACATGCAGTCCAGAGAAGTGGCTTAAGTTCAAACAGCCTTGTTCAACTTGGACCCATGTCTTCTGCCACGTCCACTTCCCAGAGGACAAAGGGGCCTGCTGCCATGTGTCTTCTGTTGCCATGTCCACTTCCCAGAGGACAAAGGGCCATTAGGGGTGAGGGTTTAGGAAGGAGGAAGTGCCTTGAGTCCTTGGTACAGCGGTGGGGTGAAAGAACCAAAAGAAGACCCAGAGTGTTGGTTTCAGTATCCCTCAGGAAGACACTTCTCTGAAGGCACCTCCATGCCCCAGGCCCCCACAGGCTGCAAGAGCCTGCAAAGCAGGAGGCTTCAGGGGCCTCTGAGCTGTGAAGATGAGGGACTGAGGCTATGCCCAACCAGGAGGGTGACTTCTAACTGGACCAGTTCTTAAATTCCAACTGATTTTACCCCATCCGACAAGAGAAAGGGAAACACACTAGCTGCAAAAATAGTAATGCCCCTAATCCAAATACTGCCAGCGTCCCCCATACTCCCACCCAAGGCAGGGGACAGGTGCTGAGGAAACCCCTTCCCAGATGCTGAACGTTGCACAGGAGGCCGCAAGAGGCCCAGGCCCCCCAGCCTCTGATGGAGATGGAGGTCCCGTGGCTCAGCCTCTCATCTTGGCTGGCTGAGGGCTCCTGAGTGGGCGCTCACCTGTAGTAGGTCTGGGATAACTGGTAGGACATCGGCACGAAGGGCACAGCCCGGTTTTTCTTTGGGCCCAGCGTGTGGTTGATCCGACGCCGGTTGACCAAGCTCCTTTGCTGGCACTCCATGAAGGCCTTCACCAGGATCTGATCCTTGTACTCCTGGTAGAGGCGGAAAGTCTGCAACACAGCACATTGTGGGTGAGCAAGGGCCTCCAGCCAGCCAGAGGAAGGAGCTGGACATGTGGATGCAGAAAAGCTGGAGCCAATCACTTACAAAGGAAGGAAGTGATCAGGGACACAGTGGGGAGCCAGGAACTGATGTAGTGTGCGTACGTGTGTTAAGTGCGTGCACGTGTGTAGAAAGGCAATAATCCCAACTTGCAGACCATCAGTGCCATCATCATGCCACACCTCCAGAGGCCACAGAGAAAATCAGGCAGCCGGAGAAAACAGAAGTCCTTGCCCCCAAGCTTGTTTCTTTTTTTTCTTTCTTTCTTTTTTTTTTTTTTTGTGGACATGGGAGTCAGCGCAAAACCAGCTCTGACACTACCTTGTCCCTGAGCCTCTCACCCACCCATTTGGACGTCCCTGAATGTGTCTGGCTCACACCATCCATACTGTCCCCATCTAGTCCATGCCACCACTTCTCACCACAGTCACCAGCTAGCTGGTTTCCCTGTGTCTCCCTGTGCCACCTCCCCCAGCTGCAGGCCATTCTCCACATCAGCCACAGTAATCCCTTTGTGCCTAAATCAGACTACATGCTCCATCCCTGCTTTGAAGGCCCTAGTGGCTTCCCTTCCAGGTGGAACAACATCCAGTCCTTACTGTGATGGACAAGAGCCCTGTGAGTGAGACCTGTGCCCCACTCAGGTCTCGCCTCTGACAACTCCACCCGTCACCAGCCTCCAGCCTCCCGGGCCTTCTCACTTTTCCTCCTGAAAATCCAAGGCATCCCCACGTGCCCCCCATTTGTGCATGGCTGACTCCTGAACAGTCAGGTCTCGGCTAAAATGTTTCCCTCCAACAGCAGATCCTTCACTACCCCGCTCCTCTGCAGTCACGTGTACTACATTATCCTGCTTTCTTTTCTCTGAGGCAGCTGCCTCTCCCTGAGAGGATCTTGTTTGTTTATTTGTTGTCTGGAAGTCCCAGGAGCACACACAGCACCTGGTGCCCAGCAGGGAGCCCCAGTGAAGGTGGTGTCTGGCCCCGAAGCTCAGCAGCTCTCTGCGGGCCAGGCCATGGTGACTTCATGGCTCGGCCAGCTGAGTCTCACGCACGGACTTGTGCCCCACCCGGAGGAAGAGCCGCTTAAAGCACAGCAGGGCTGGCTGGTCTGTTGCTCTGAGTTACTGAAAAGGGCTGGCTCCACCAACCCACAGTTCCTGAACATTTAGCATGCCAGCCTGAGTTCCTGCTAGCCTGTCTCCTCAAAAGTGCTGTCATGGTCTAAGAATTTTAGGCTTGGAAGTTTCCCTGATGGCCCTGCCCCTGGGACCTCCTAGTGACAGAAGAAACTGAGGCACACGGTATTTAAGAGCTCCTCTGAGGCCACACAGCTAGGCAGGGTAAACCAGGACAGCACAGCAACCTCTGGCAGAGGGACGGAGGGGTGGGGAGCCTGGGTGGTGTCAGTTGGGGGTACGGGCAGCACAGGAGTGTTCTGGGAGCTTGCCAGCCCTGGCCCACACAACCTTGCTTTCTCTAGACAGCACTTGTCTAGACAGTCCTGGGTGTGCAGACTAGCAGGCCCTGCGGGAAAACGCGCTGCACAGGACAGAGGGGAGGAAGTCGGAGTGGGGACATGGCTGTGATGTCATCAGTCCTTCCTCCCAGACGACAGCAGTGGAAGCTGAGTCCAGTGCTGGAGCAAGCCTTCTGTGACTTTTGCCCTTTCCCTCCTTCAGAAGACAATTGCTGGATGGGCATACTCCCCATGCAATGCTGCTGGCACAAGAGCGTTGAGAGCACTGCGGTGAGTGGGGGAGCGTGGCCGCCCACTCAGACCACCAAGGGGTCGGGGGCCACGCTGCCTGCATGCTCACGCCTTCCGCCCACTTCCTTGCCCCACATTTCCTTGGCCTGTAGCGGGTGCTGCTGGGATCCCACATGGGGCTCTGACACCATCGCTAATGACCCTCCAGTCCCCACTGAGGAAGAGTCCTGCTTCCTGCTGGGGGAGGAGAGGCCGGGCAGGCCGGTGGTCTTTCTCATGGGACTTCTTACTCTCCTGGGGTGGAGGGAGACACTAGCCCTCGGCTACCCCCCATCGGAGCCTGTACACCACCTGGAGACCAACTGCAGGAAATAAAACAGCACCTGAGACCAGGGACAAGGCCTGTCTGGAGCACAGGAGCATAGCTTTTGCTATTAATGGGTTTAAAACTAGTGTCCCTTCCCTGGGCCCGGCTCTTCTCAGTTGAGGGGTGGTGGGAAGGACTCCTGAGGTCCCGCCCAGCTCTGACCCATTACTGAGCAGGAGCAAGGAGAACTGGAAGGTCCACTCCACAGCCACCAATGACGTCAGAAATTTGGATTCTTATGTGCAATGTTGGCAGTAAATTTTTTTAAAAAATTTTTTTGTTTGTTTGTTTTCTCTTTAAACAAGTGTGGGCCAACAAAACAAATCCAAGGGGCCAGATGTGATGTGTGGGCTACTTGGGACTAGTTCCCTCCTCTACTCATTCTTGTTCCCTGCAAGTCCAGGCGCAGGCAGGGCTTCACTCTTGTGGAATATACTATAAAGCATATGTACCTCATAGGGCCTGGTTTTCCAAAGTCTTGCAGTTTCAAATATTGACCTTGTGGAGGACTGGAAATTTTCCTCAGGCTGTAAGTCTCTGGTGTAAGATAAAGATTTGTGGCACAGAAGGTTGCTGGCTCAAGGACAGACTAGTTACTGATTGTTATGTAAAGGTACTGAGAAATTGATGTAAGAAGGAATGTTTGCTAAGATCAAGCTTTTGTTAATTGCCTTACTGGAAAGTCATCTGGCTTGTTTCACTGAAAGTTACCAGCCTATATTGTTAAACTATAACCCCACCTATGTCTCTTCCTGTAACTTGCTGGTCTGGAAAATAAATGCAGGAAGAGAACCCCAATTTGGGGTTAATTTCCCGAGGAAGGGTTGCCTCTTGCTGGAGAGTCCCAGGGAAGTTACCCACTTCAGGGCTTCTCACTGCTCAGAAGATATGGGCTCTGAGTAATCCTTTGCGTCTCGGTCACCCAGGGGAAGTGGGGTGACAAATCCACGGGGGGCGAAGCAACACAATGTCTGCAATATGCGGGGGCAGGGGCATGGCACTGAGACCAACCTCTCACTCAGAAATGTACGTACAAGAAAATAAAACAAAGGCTTCAAGGGCCCAACCAAGTGTATGGAAACATTTATCGGGCCTTTGATCTGATGGTCCCAGATGCCCCTGCAAGAGTCACATGCACATCAGGAGATCAAATGAACACTCAGTCTCAATTTGCAGAGGCCTCACATGGCTGTAGACCAACTAGGGCCAGGGTGCTGCTCTGAAGCAAGGCATTCACACCTGGCCACATGTTTGCTTTAAACAGCTCCATTTCCTCCATCCTCCCAGCCCCCCTAGTGCCCAAAGAAACAAGTACAGGCCAACGAGGTATTTGCAGCATCCCCCATGCATCTACACAGTGTTTCCCCAAGGGTGGTTGGTGGACCTCCAGCATCAGTACAGCAATACTTGTTAGGGCCCCCACGTTGACTCCCGATTCAATCCCTCTACTCTGAGAGTGGGGGTTGGGGGGCCGCAGGCTAAGAGAGTTCTCCAGTTGACTCAGAGTTGCCCTTAAAGTTTGGGACCCCGCCCATCTAAATTCATCAGTGGGATTTGAAAATATCATCCCTTCGTTTTCTTTTTTTCTCACATTCTTTTTTTTTTTTTGTCCTGTTTGTGACCGGTAAGGGGACCACAACCCTTGGCTTGGTGTTGCCCGCCCCGCGCTCAGCCAGTGAGCGCACCGGCCATCCCCATATAGGATCCGAACCCGCGGCGGGAGCGCCGCTGTGCTCCCAGCACCGCACTCTCCCGAGTGCGCCACGGGCTCGGCCCTTTTTTCTCACATTCTAAACAGGGTTGATTTGTAATGTAAGCCAAAGGAGATTTTTAGGTATAGAGATTAAGTACAAAAGTGAATAGGCTCCCACTTGAAAGTCACTAAAACTAAGGGAGAATGAAGAACGCCCTGGGCAGCACTGGCTTGGGGAGCAGGCCCCTCTCAGCACCCCTCTGTTGGGGTCTTGTGATGACTGAGCTGTGTGACCTCAGGCCCATCTTATAACTTCTCTGAACCTCAAGGTTCCATATTTGTACAAAGTAGTAAGGCCACTGACCTCCCAGGCTCCATGTAGAGTTAAATGGAATTTGCTTCCCTCCCTTCCACCCTCCCACAGCACAGTAAAGCAGCAGCACAGCTCAGGAGATGTTACGACTCATTGCCCGCAGACAGGCAGCTTTCAAACAAAACATCCTGGCATGGTAAGTTATGACTTGAGAAGACAAGCAGTACAGTTCAATCCCTTTCTCAGTTCCTCTGCCACTCTGCCCAATTTGCCACTTTTCCTCTTCTGCCTAGTTTCCTGTCTTTAACATTAGACTTAAAACCTCAGCCCCGGAAGGGATTTTGGAGGCCACTGGATCCTGCCCCCACACTTGAAACGTGAAGGATACGGGGAGATGCTGGTACAAAGCTTCAGTTACATAAGATGAACGGGTTCTAATAGGAGATCTAATGTCCAGCATGAATACGACAAGTAACAAAACTACTGTGTACTGATTCTTTTTTTTTTTGGTGGTTGGCCAGTTCCGGGATCTGAACTTGTGACCTCGGTGTTATAAGGCTGTGCTTTAACCAACTGAGCTAACCGGCTAGCCCTGTACTGTGTACTTAAAATGTTCTAAGAGGGTAGATCCTGAGTGTTCTTGCCATTAAAAAAAAAAAAAAAGGTACTATATGAGATGACAGATATGCTAATTACCTTAATTGTGATGATTAATTTACAATGTATACATATATCCAATCATCTAGCTATAAACTGTAAACATGTAAAATAAAAATAAAACAACAAAAAAATAAAGATGAAAGAAGGGAGAGCCAGAGTCTTGGGAAGAAGGGACACCCAGAGACCCTGCAGGTGAGAAGAGCAGGAGAAAACACTTTCCCAGACCCAGCCTCTGAAGGGCCCCACGTCCCACCTGTACTGCTGGAAAGCTTGTTCCCACCTGAAATGACTGACAGGACTCCATCTGACTGTCCGAGAGAGCCAGCGTGCTCTGGATCAGGTTCTGGAGCACCAGAAAGTGGATGTCATCCTCGCTGAAAAAGAAACAGGGTGGCGGCAGGACCACATGAGGCTGTGGCCACAGGGCACCATTCATTATGGGGGGAAGTTCTCAGTAAAAACAAAAGCTTTCAATCTCACGGAAGTGACATGAATGCCAAAATTATTCACAAAATAAAATAAGCAATGGTGTCTAGACTTTACTACCTGGTTAATTTCTGCAGGAAAAAAGTTTCCATCTAGCAGGTAAAGGGTCTCAATAACCTGGAACAGGATTTATGATAACTAACAAATGTACTTAGTACTTACATTTTCTTTCCTTCTAATTCTAACCAAGCTTTTCTCCAAAGAGGATAGGTTTCTCACTAAAATACAGAGCTAAAATCAAACTGAATATTATCCAAGATGGAAAAAAAAAAGCAAAAAAAGCTGAGTTTTCTAACCAGAGTTTTGCCTGGAAAGCTCATGGGCTGAGAGTTGAAACAATTTCCCTAGCCCACCTTAAGGCTAGGCCAGTAATCTTCAAGGTTAAGGATCAGCAAACTTTGTCTATAAAGGGCCAGATAATAAATATTTTAGTCTTTGTGAGCTATGCGGACTCTGTTGCAACTACTCAGCTCTGATGTTCTAACATGAAAGCAGCATAGATAACACAGCATGGCTGTGTTCCAATAAAACTTCATTTACAAAAACAGGTGGTGGGCCAGATTTGGCCCTAGACTGCCCCTGTGCTGGGCTGTAGGTAACCAGATCAAGTAGCTGAGGAAAATGTACTCTGTATCTCAGTACTTGCCTATTAAGTTCATCCTCTTTCCTGATTTGATTTTTTTCATCTCCAATTGCCAAAACTCGGTATCTGTGCAAGAAACAAAAGGAGCATGTCAGTGAAACACAGCAGATCTTCTCTAACTGAGCTGATGCTTGCTCAAGATGGCCATTTACTGGCTAAAACGTTGAGGAAAATGTTAAAACTCACAAATGTCAAACACTGTACATGCAAATTAAAATGAGAATATACCATGTTCTTCCCATCACATGAACCTGTCATAAAAATGAGGGCTGAGAAAATGAGAGATGTTCACACACTGGCAATTATGAAGCAACATGGGAAAATGTGAATTGCCAAGGAGCCACTGCTCATTGTTAAGGGAGCAGGATATAAAACTGTGGGCTAATTTCAATGAAAAAGACAAGCACAAGAAAGAAGACTGGAAGAAAATACCCAAACATAATCTAAAAAAGTTGATCTTAGAGGAACAGAGAGTAGAAAGGCGGCTACCAGCGGCTGGGGGAGAGGGGACGATGTTGATCAGAGGGTACAAAGTCTCAGTTAGAGTTGATCTTAGAGGAACAGAGAGTAGAAAGGAGGCTACCAGCGGCTGGGGGAGAGGGGACGATGTTGATCAGAGGGTACAAAGTCTCAGTTAGACTGGAGAAATAAGTTTCAGTGACCTATGCACTGCACAGTGAGCGCAGTTAATACAATGTGTTGTATATTTCAAAACTGTTAAACATTTTAACATTCTCGTCACAAAAAATAAGTTGGTGAAGTGATGGATATGTTCATTGGCTTGATGTAATAGATTTTTAACATTCTCGTCACAAAAAATAAGTTGGTGAAGTGATGGATATGTTCATTGGCTTGATTTAATCTTTCTACAATGTGTACATAACAAACATAACATTGTACCCCGTAAATATATACAATTATTATTTGTCAATTAAAAAATAAATCACGATAAAGAAAATACCCCAAAGAGAATAGCTATATTAGGTGCTGGAATTACAGATTATTTCCCCATCTCTTTTTCGAGTTTCACTTAATATCATTTTACTGTGTTCATGCCAAGCAAATAAATATAAAAATAAATCATAGAACTGATTTTAAAAACCTGGCCACTTGTAAGACATTCTACAAAGCTAAAGTAAAAATTCATCTTCATGACAGAAAATTTTTCCTAAAATTTAGTGCCAAGAAAAAGCAACTTTTCAGAAAAGCAGGTGAACTCTTTTGAGCCAAGCAGGGAAAAATATGGAACCATTTTCTATTTTGCTTCATCTGCAAGAATGCTGAGGATCAAAATTAGCGTTAACCAGTTAGGACTGTGACTTTTTCTTTCTTCTAAATGGTTCTTGAGCTCTCCTTTAAAAATCTTTATTTTAACTGTCTTCTTTGATGGCTCAAAGTTGCCTCACAACTTTGCTGAAAATATGTCGGGATATAAATTACAAATATGTAAACAGACCACTAGCTAACCTTTAAGAGTGAACATAAATCATGCCATTTGGGAATTCTGGGAATGGTCCACTGCAAAAACAAAAAAACCCAAAAAATAGCTCAAGGGTATCAACTCAGCAAATGACCACAAATCACTCCTTAGGCCTGGCACGCAGTGGACACTACACAAATCATTTGTTGAATGAAAGAATGAGATTTCCAATTGAGATGCAGAGAGCAAAGGTATTGTATGGTTCACTAATAGGAACTGACAGATCAATGACACCTCTTTTAGGAAGAAATTCAGAAACACAGTGGCTAGAAGTACTTTCTAGATGAGAAAGTGGAGAGAAGGGATTCACATTTTGATGATGCCAAGGAAACAGGCCTCGTTCACAGAACTTAGGATTTTAAAATTTCAGAGTTCTGTGTTCAAATCCAGATACAGTCTTTTCCAGATGTTAAGTGGTTATGCTGGGAAGAGCAGGGGCTCTGGAGTCAGACCCACCCAAGGTCAAATCTTGGCCCTGTTGCTTACAATCCCCACAACCTTGGGCACATTACAAGGTGAGAGATCTCAGCAGGAAGTTCACCAACCAGGCAAGGAAACCTTAATTAAGCCAGCAGCAGGGAGAAGGAACGCGAGTGCCCAGTGGGGTGGCAAGGTCCCTTCCCTATGTTCAAGTCACCCGTGAGAGGAGGGACATCAGATGTCCAGAAACGAGAGACAGGGGGGTGAGCTGCCAGGCGGAATGCAAGCAGGCGGGTGGGGTGTGCTTCGCAGGCTGCTGACAGGGAGACACCCGGCAGTCCCAGCTGTTGACCTTTTCCTCTTGCTCTGGGAGGATCACACAGAACCATCCAGAAGCACTTTACCTGGCAAACAGCTCCTGGAGTGTGTCTGGGATTTCAAAGTTGGGATTCTTTAGGGCTGAACTGAACTTCTCTTTAAGCTTCTCCACAAATTCTTTAAACTCCTTGGCACAAACCTTTCAACAGGAGAGAATGAGATATTAACCCTTTCTTTCCCTAAAGGGAGATTTTGCCAAGACGCACCAAGAAACATCTTGTAACAAACTCCCACAGCAGTTCCATCCATCCAAGAAACTCTGACAGCACTGTCTCCTCTGCCTTTTCTGTCTCCCCAAGTCCACAGAGGTCATCCATGACCTGAGAAGGCCGGCTGGAGAGGAGGCAATAGACGCTCACCACTACGCTCAGGAATCTGGAGCACCGGGTGCCAAATAACAGGCTGACGGCCCTCTCAGCACATGGCTGGCTCTCTCTCCCAAGCCCCAGACAGGAAGACACAAACAAGTCCAGCCCAGTCCCCGGAATGCCTACCAGGTACCTCCAGACAGCAGGCCATGCTCCCCTCCTCTGCTCCCAGGTCTGGTTCTCCCCAGTTCACCTGGGTGAGTCTACGTCCTTTCCCTCCCCCAGCCCTACACTCAACAGGTGGATCCCAAATCAGTCCCCTCCTCTATACCACACTGCAACCATCTCAATCCAGACCAGATCTGATAAGCACACTAATCTTGTTCACCCTGTGTCCAATGCGCCAGGATAAATTCCTGCTCCTCCCCTGGTACCATGGTTGCGCAGGACACAGCCCCTGCTGCACCTGGCTGCAGCCCTAACCCTTAACCACAGGGCACCACACTCCCTCTTCTCTCCTGCCCCTGCCTCAACTGGCCCTGTGGCTTTCGAGTCTCATCCAGAGCTGAAAACTTTGCAAAGCCCTCTATGGCAGATAGTGTGGGTCGCCTATTCTGTTTATCCTCGTTCTTTCTTAGAGGTGGAGCTGGCCCCGATTTAGTTTGGGGAGACAGGATGCCCAGCCTCTTGGGATGAATAAGGATTGTCTAAGCCACTCATGGCAACCTTGGTCCCTTGTGCCAGATAACTGTTTCCCAGTCATCTGCCAGGGGCTTCTGGAAAAGGCTGTCCCTGATACAAGGGTCTGTGGGCCCAGTGCAGTCTCTCTCTCACTTCTTCCTGCCCTGAGACTGTGTTGCACTGGAACCTGAGCACTAGCAGTCAACTTGTAACCAAGGGGTGACTGGCGTAAGGATGGAAAGCTGACCGCTAAGGACAGACAGAGAAGTGACAGATGAGTCTGGGAACCTGATGACATCTCTGCTTTGCTGCACCCAGGACTGCCTAGCTCCAGTCTGCCTGGCATATGGGAAAAAGGAAGCCCTAAACCCCTGTGAGGCTGAGTGTTTGTGTCATTTGCATCCAACAGCATTCCTGACTCTCCCTCCCTGACCTTAGCAGTCTATGCCTACCACCCTCCGGGAGCTGGCTGTGCTGCTCTGTCACGGCCATTGACTTCTCTGCCTGTCCCATTCGTCTGTGGCTCCCTCAAGGCAAGGCTGCATCTCCTTCCCATGGCCTTGCCTGGCACAGGCCTGACAGTCAGGAAGCAGAGTCCAGTGCCAGCTCAATGAGCAAAGCGGGAGCAGCTCTGAGCAACAGATCAGAGAAGTCTGGGTCACCAAAGACAGCTTTGTTCCTTGCCAGCCACTGCCCCGGCCCCACCTGCACAGAGAACTCAGGAAGAAAACTCCTGCCCTATCTGCAGGCTGTCCATGAAGTCCAGCTGTTAGTAATTTCTGAAGAGCTGTCCCAATTTCTTAACAAAATAGGCGCAAGGCACAGCAGCATTTCAAAGCAGCACATCAACTTCTAATGATCTCTAAAAACTGATGCTTGGGACCAGATCAAATGAAGTCCAAAGCCAAAGAATTTACAAGTTGATATCCCAAATGAGCAGCAAAATAACCCATGTCTGTAAGGCTGGCAGAGGCACCACGGGACCCAGAGGACCAGACCATAACCTAGAAACCCTGCCGCCAGAGCAGGCTGAGCCCTACCTACACCACACGGGCCTACCTTTGGGTCTTCATAGTCACATTTTCGACTCATGAAATCTCCAACAAGGGCTTTATCCTGGTACACCTCGGCAAGGCACACCCTGCAGAAAAAGGAAACAAAATGAGGTCTGGAAATTGCAATGTCTGTTCATGATCATGTCTGTTCAGAACCATCAAAATAGAACTGCTCTAACATTTCTGGCCTTGACTAACCATGAAACAGGATTTACTTACATACCTGCTGCGCAATTCTATCTTTTAAAAATGGAAGACCTGGGGTCAGCCAGACCTGATTCACATCAGGCCTGTTTGTGCTCGCACATGACACCTTGGCTTCTCTGAGCTTCCATCCTCATGGGTAAACTGAGAACAGTAACTCCCACCTGGCCCTCACAGGATTTGGCCAAGACCAAATGAAATGACCTATGTGAACGCGTGATGTAAATCTGAAGGTATTATACAGGCATTGGTGTTCATTATTACTAAGAGGTCTAGTCTTCTCCAAAGCAGGGGATTTGCCCACTCAATCAGTTTTCACGTCTCTGTGACATAAAAAGAGCCAGACGTGCCGAAAAGGAAATGGAGGAGAAGACGGCCAGCATCATAAACAGCCTGCTGGGTACAGATTGTCATCCCAAGGAGGAGAGAGAAGGGTTAGGGAGAAATTGGTTAACAGACACAAGGAATGATTATATTTTGTGATGATGAACATGCTCATTATACTGATTTGATCATCACACATTGTACACAGGTATAGATACAACTCTGTACCCCACAAACATGTATAATCAATTATGTTTCAATTAAAAAAAGAGAGAGAGAGATTGTCATTCCATTTCACCTTGTTAAGGTAAGGGACCCCTAGATTACACCCACATTGAGGGCTGGGGCAGGCAGGACGGGTGTGGTTATTACAGAGATTATCCTCCTGTTTCATCATGTGGACAAATGCTCCATCCCAGGCCCACGGCTCTGGAGACGCTTGTTAAGGTAAGGGACCCCTAGATTACACCCACATTGAGGGCTGGGGCAGGCAGGACGGGTGTGGTTATTACAGGGATTATCCTCCTGTTTCATCATGTGGACAAATGCTCCATCCCAGGCCCACGGCTCTGGAGACCTGTGGCAAGGACTGAGTCCCAGGCCTGCTAACTCTGGGGCCCCTCCTGTTCTAATGCCCCAGGCTGCTGCTGGGGGAGAGGAAGAGCATCGCTCAGGGGCAGGAAGCCCAGTTCCAGATCTCACTTCACCACCAACTCAGACCCTCTTTCTGGGTGTTCCCACTTCTGAAAAACAGAGTTGGGACCAGGTGATCAGAGCCCTTTCAGATAGAGAAGTCTAAGAGTCTACACATGGCAAAGTGGCCTCACTCAGGAAGGCCCCTTGTTATATCTAACTTGGTGGTTCTCTACTGGGGCGATGTTGCCCTGTAGCAGGCATCAGGAGACATTTTCAGTTGTCACAATGGAAAGGGGAGGTGCTACTGACATGCAATGTGTGAAGTCTAAACAACCTGCACTTCCCAGGACGCCCCCACCACAGAGTGATCCAGCCCAAAATGTCAATAGTGACGAGGCTGAGGAACCCTGTCTAGAGCTGAGTTTTCTCCATGATCCAGGGCTGGGCTGATTTCTCTCTACAGTCTGGCTGGTGGCAGGCAGCCCGTGGCCAGAATCAATTCACAGCCAAGCTCTCTTACTGACTTGTGGCATGAACAAAGAGCTGGTGGAGGCAGTTCTTCCTAGCCCTATTCTATTTCCCCTCTTGGCCCCATTCTCATGCTGGCTGCAACACTCGGGCACCTCCCCACACCACTCTGATGCTCTCCAGTCCTCTTGACTCAAGCCATCCTTGTGCAGTGGGGTGTAAAAGTCTGATGGGGCTGGCTGTGGCTTTATGGCCTTGGCCTTGTGAGAAGGAGTTAACAAACCACAAGGCAGATGCTTTGTGACTCCTAAGCAGTCGCTATCACACACATCCTGGACCATGGCTGGAAACACCTAGGGACACCCAGCTCTGCTGAGGACATGGCAGGGTGTGTTTTGTCCAGTGATCCAGGTCCTGTCTAGCTTCTTCCTGGAGTGAGCTATGTGAAGGGCCACTAATCCATAATCTCTTAAGAGCAGCTCTGCATGCTAAAAACAGCAACGAGGGTCAGCCTGGGCTCTGCCTCCAGCACATGCTGGTCACGTGGTGGTCAGCGGCCATCCAGCCTTCCTCTTCTCCACTTCACTGTAGACAAGCAGAACAGCAAGGGTGCTCTGACATCCACATAATGCCATGAGTGTGTAAGCACACAGAACCGTGCCTGGCCCTCGGAAAAACGAGGACAGTCTCACTAACAAACCCCAACACTTGCACAGCTCACTGGACAACTCAGTGTGCTCTGCATTTTACACCAGATTCTTAAGAAATGGAAGAAGAATAAAGAATGAACTAGAAGCATTGGAATGACATGTCCTGGAGTGATGAAATTTCAAATATGGCTTACTTATAGTTCAGATAGGCTTGTGGGTTTTTGATTATGTAGCGAGCTCTTCGTCCGACCGAATGAGATGTTTTATCCAAAGACTCTTCTAAGGTAGCATGCAGGATGTCCCGCACAACCTGCCAGGGGACAAATGGACCCTTCACCTGGATCAAACACAGAGCCAAGATGGAAAATCAGCATCCTCAGAGTCCAAGCTATGGGAAACTAATGTGAAGGAGGGGGGCAAAAACGTGCTCTGTGAAAGCTCCTTCCTCAGCAAATACTCCAAACTGTCACCTCACATTCTACTCAGTCACATTAACTGGGCACTCACTACACACGAGGCACTGAGTGAGGTCCTGGGCAGAGAAGACCCTCAGTGCCCAGTGGGAAAAGAGCATCTTTTGGCAAGTACCATAACAGGTGCCCAGAGGGTGTCCAGTAGCACTGACCAAAAGGAGATATAAAAGTATATAAAGTATGTTTACTGAGAGGGTGTAACATCTTAACTATACATTACATGTGCTCAGAAACATTCTGTACATGCATTCTGTACATTGTATGTTTCATTAGTAGAAACAGAACGTACTAAATGAGCAGCCTCAAGAGAATGCACAGGCAGGCAGAGCGAGATATGGAAGGGAATAGAGGACATGTTATTCTCTTATAACCCCAAGAACGGCAACCTGAGAGGACGGTGCCCATTCTAGCACATGGAGTGGAGCATCCACCAGCACTGAACCGTGCAGCACCCTCCTGGCTCCTCCAGCTGCACTGAGGGTGGGGCAGAGGGAGGACACCCCTCCCATCAGTGCTGCAATGAAAAAGCCACTGTAGATGCAGGGGACAGAAATTAGGGACAACAACATGTCGCCTTTCAGGTCCCTCCTTGGAGAAGGGGTTGGGTTGGAATTCAGGAGAGGACTGAGAAGTGAGAGGACATGAGACAAATGGTCAAGAAGAAAGACCTAATGAGCCTGAGGCTGACAGCGTCTTGGGCCCAGGACCCCTCACTGGGTTTCTCCTGGCTGGCTGGCACAGTTGTGACCAGGACACTCAACCAGCTCTTATGGAACTGTCTCAAGGGACCCTGGACTGGACGATGGCAGAGTTCATTCTCCTGGTGGCTTCTATGTCAACCCTGATTGCTCTCCCCACACCTTGCTGCAAACTGAGAAGGTCAGGACAGCACAAAGTAGCAGGAACATATAGATGAGGAATCACTGAGGTGCTTTGGGGAATGGTGAAGAGATGAACTCTGGCTCGGGCTACAGAAACATCTTGGAGGCAGTGGCATCAGAGGAAAGAGGAAGAGTTTGCTAGATTGAGAGCAAGGTCCTCCCCACCAGCCTGCGATTCAGGGACACAGGCAGGGAGGATGCGGGCAGTGTAGGGGACTGTGCTGCAGAAGGTGGGGAATGAACATGAGATACCTGGCCAGCCAGGCCGCGGCCACCATCACCATCCCACACAGATTCAATCAGGGCTAGCTGTGTGACGGCCAGTGTGGCAACATGCCAGGGGCTGCAGCTAGGGGAGCAGATGAGAAGGCTCTGCCATGAAGAGAAGCCACTCCAGTGGTCCAAGAGGTACCAGAGCAACAGAAACCACCCAAGATGTATATGTCCAGGGACAGAGAGAGAATGGAGTAATTACTACGTCCAGTTTCCAGCTGGCAGAGGAGGGGAGAGGAAAGGGTTAGATTCCCGGTGAAGAGAGAGAGAGAACAGCTCTAAACTATTTTTTGCCTGCAGCCAGGCAAAAATTTATATGTATCTAAATGAAGCCTGAAAAGAAATGCGCAAAAACAGGAGTGGTGGTCATTGGTGGTCATTGCAGGGTTCTGGGCGAGGCTCTTCCCAGGGGCCAGGCAGAGCAGATAAGACGGTTGTCTCAGGGCCATGGGCTCCCTACAAGGCGGCGACAAGAGAGGGAGCCCCGAGAGAGGGGCAGGCAGATGCTGGGGAGCAGCCAGCACTGCGGCCTGTACCTTGGTGTTGAGGACATTGCTGGCAATCCGGCAGAGCATGAGCAGCCCATCCTCCTGTATGGACCAGGCGACACGCCGCCGCGTCATCCTCTGCAGTGCGCTCTGGTCAGCCTCATCATGGTAGCGCAGCTTTTTGCTTTTTGCTTCTGTGAGCTCTTCTACAAACACCAGGGGGAGAGGAGGGAAAGCCTCTAACAACAGGTTTGGAGCTGTCACTCTGGAGGGTGGAAGGGCCCCTCCTCAGCTGGTAAGATTTGACCAAGGATATCGGTTATTGGAGTCTCATTGAGCCTGCGGTCATACAAACTAATCACAAAAGATTCAGCCCTACCTGACAGATTTACTTACTTACTTACTTACTTACTTACTTACTTACTTACTTACTTACTTACTTACTTACTTACTTACTTACTTACTTACTTACTTACTTACTTACTTACTTACTTACTTACTTACTTACTTACTTACTTACTTACTTACTTACTTACTTACTTACTTACTTACTTACTTACTTACTTACTTACTTACTTACTTACTTACTTACTTACTTACTTACTTACTTACTTACTTACTTACTTACTTACTTACTTACTTACTTACTTACTTACTTATTTTTTACCCCTTTCAGCATTTCTCTTTGGTCAGATTTTACGCTGACAGGTTGGGCAGCCTGAATGGAGCCTCTACTTAGTTATCTGCCAGTCTCCAATCTCGTCCACCATGACGCTAAGTCCTTTGAAGACACCTTGCACAGATGCTTACAGAATATGCTCTGGTCATGTTCATCAAACAAGCAGGACCATCGACTGTGGAGTCACTGGGCCCCCAATACACCCTCGCTCTGTGACCTCAGGGGCATTGTGTAAACTCTAGTGCACCCTGAGGACAACAAGGTCTATACTCCCGGGCTGTGTCCACCTAGTACAGTGCCTGGCACAGAGTAGCTACTAAATAAATACTAGCGATCACTAGCATGACGGAATAGTCACTATGTGCCAAGCACTCTTATAAGCTTTTTACATACATGAACTTATAATTAGAATATTTTATGATAACTGTATGAGGTAGACATAATTATTATCACTATTTAATAGTCAAGGAATCTGAAATCAGCAAGAAATGGTGACTTGCCCATGTCCCATAGGTTAGCCAGTGGCAGGTGCAGGATCTGAACCTTGAGCTCTCAGCCACAGGTTTTCCAAGGTCCCCTTCCCTTGAGGGAAACATTAACAACATTTCGCAGGACAGATACAAAAAGCTACTCTCAATTCCAGAAGACTGCTTGTTTAGAGAGTGTTTTCCGATTTAAGACAGAAGAAAAGTGGAGCAAGGAAATGTGGATTCAAAGTGAAACCACCACTACTTTTTGCCTTGTGATAAATGCAGATCTCTGTGAGCCAAATCAGTTGTACACATATCTGCAATAGGCTAATCCAAGGGGGCCATTTCAACTGATGGAATGCTATTGGTTATGAATAAAAGCCAAATAAACCACCAAAAACAGATTCATGTTTAAACATTCTGATTTTTATCTAAAATAGCTATAACCGTCAGATCGTTGTTAAAATACATGGAACACTTAGGTGATATAAAAGTGGTCTAAAAAATAGATACTGGTCTCCTTACCACCTGCCTTCTGCTGTAAATCCTGCCCAGATGAAGAACTCAAATGGCAACCTGAAAGTCACCAGCCATGACAGGTGACTTCAGGCCTGGAGAGGTTCTGCAGGCTCATGTCCCAGCTTTCCTCCAATTTAAAAATACAACACAACTTTGAACTTTGGCCTGATTAGCATAAATGCAGATATTAAAGGGTAAACAAAAAGAACAACAGGATTTTGGCTAGTTGTGATGAAGATTTCGTTAAGGTTTTTTCAGTTGAGGTGAAATTAGAAATCTGAACTCAGAGAGTTACTAAAGTAAAAGGCTCCACCCAAATACAAAGACAGAGAAAGCAGGGGGAAGCATGTGAGATTCAAGGACCTCTCAGTCTGCCAGATGGATTTGAAAGATAAAATGACCATCACACAGAGCAAGTGCCACAAATCGAGGGGAAAGGGAAAGCAACATCTAAGGGCAGAGCTCAGGCCCAGATGGAGCAGATCTTTGCACATCTCTGAGCCGGAAAGTACAAAGACACGGCGCAATAAACGCAAAGAACCATGACATAACCTTTTTTCTTTCTCTTCGTCTTCTTTCCAGGCTCCTTCCTCAGCCGTTTCCGCTTCTGGCCTTTCCCACCCCTCACTCTCCGGCTTCTGTCCAGTGTGGGCTCTCGGTCAACCTCAACCTGCTCTTCCCTGTTAGCACAGAGTTCGGAGCCTGCTCTTGCTCTTCCCCAGATGTTCAACCTGCCAGTGGCTAGAAACAATAACAGGAGGTAACAGTTTCAGGATGAGCTCTGCAAAGGCCAGAAAAGCCAAACTGAATGTACGGGGGGTTGTTTTGGCCCTGAATTGGTGCCATGTTGATTTCTGGGGTGAACGCCCAGCACACGTACCTCCAGCACTGAGAGGCAATGGGCGCTTGGACAAAAACGTCTGGAGCCTCACTGTGAGCCCATTCTCTGAGACGGTGTTCTCCTGAAAGACATGTACAGCCTTGGAATAAAGTATGAGCTTCCACAAACCTCTGGGGCCCAGAGCACCAAACGCACTAACACATGGAGTCTCTGAGGGAGCCCAGGACTGTGCACAGTGACTGCCAAGAGCTGGCCCCGGCTGCCTTGGAGGGCAGAGTCTCCTGCCCAGGTGCTTTATCAGTTCACGTGCACTCCCACCGGGAGGCCTGCATCACCCAGACTTTCCATTCCTTTTTTAAAAGGAATACCTGTCCATGTCACAGAATATGCTAGAACCCACTGCATCTAGGCCAGGCAGATATTTAAGGGGCCTGATGCACCTACAGTACAAATGGACATCAATATTTGCATCTCTGGTCAAGTTTGGTTTTACTAACTTAGAAACCAGGAAGGGATAGGAGGAGCGAGGAGTGGTCTGGTGTGGGTGCCCACCTGAGAACTGACCTTTTTGGATTTTCTGATGATATAGCTAGTCCAGATCCAGTTGCGCTTTAGGTGTCCATAGAAACTAGAATCGAGGCCTGCAGCTCCCAGCCCATCGCCGGGGATCAAGCCTTCATCCACGACCTCCCGGCTCCCCCTGCAGGACGGGAAAAGAACGGAAAAGAGCCCTCCTCGGTAACTGAAGAGAGGGCTCATGGTGTGTGGGGTAGGGGGTATCTACATATACCCAACTTTTACCTTCCCAGAAAAACACCTGACAGGTAGAAGTGAAGAATTTGGGGCCCCAGTGTTGGCAGGTTGCCACTTTTATAAGTCAAAAATCCAGATTTTTATATAAAATTCCCAACTTTTGAATTTTGACAACTGATAGTGTGGGCTACGTAAAGTATGTCTAGGGCCAGATTTGGCCCAGGGCCACCAATCTGCAGCCTCCCCAGATTTTTATATAAAATTCCCAACTTTTGAATTTTGACAACTGATAATGTGGGCTACGTAAAGTATGTCTAGGGCCAGATTTGGCCCAGGGCCACCAATCTGCAGCCTCTGCCCCCAAGAGGTGAGCCCTTCGGTCTGACATCCTAAGCCAGACAGGGAGGGCTGGGGCGTCGGGGCAGGACCACCGCAGCCCTGCCCACGGCCACGCTTGGGGACGCACGTGGTGTACTCCATCATGGCACACTTGCGCTCCAGGTTGTGCCTGTCCATGGCGCTCTCCTGCTCCTTCTGCAGACTGCCCTCCTCATCACTGCCCTGGTCTGAGCTGTCGTTCTTCTTGACGCGCGAGCAGCGCACCACACCTGGAAAACCAAACACGGGCTCAGCTGACCACCCCTTTTTGTTGGGCTCCAGCAGGCTATGGTACACTGCTGGGTGGTGAGGGAAGAATGGGTCCCCGGCCCGTGAAAAGGCTCCTCTAACCAGATGAGGGGGTCTGCAATTGGTAGAACCTCTTCACACAAAACTCCTTAAAAAGGGATTGAGCGGGAGCAGAGCAAAGCTAGAACACTGGTGGGTGAACCTCAGAGAAGGGTCAGCACTCAGGCTGAACCTGTTGAGGACAGATGCAGGCATCCAGAGAGCCCAACAGGCTTGGGGAGTCCACAAGCACAGAAAACCAAACCTTCCTTCCTGGGGCTGGGGAGTGCGGGGGCCCTAGGAAAATGGAAAGCTCCCTGGAGCTGCTGTGTGATAGCACGGCAGAAACAATGAGCAGAGAGGACTGTACTTGTGGTCAGGGCGGGAAAGATGAAAACAGACAGCTGAGACAGCGTCAGTTTCCCCAGGCCCCACTCAGCTCCAGGAGCAGCTAGATGCTGCCTGCGTGCTCCAGAGGTGCACTAATGTAGAGGAGAAATTACCTTCAGTTATTCTTCAATAACAAAAACTACATTTCCTCCAAGTTAATGCAAAATCCAACTGAAACCACTGCTCAAGCAGGTGAGGGAGGGTTACGACAGTGTGCAGACTGGCCAAGCCCATCTCGCACTGTGCTCAGGTAGAGGACTCGGCTTGACAGCATGGCCGCTGGGGTAGGGGCTGTGGGGAGTACATGCCCACACCTCTCGGCCGGAACTGTACATAACATACCTCGTCCAAGCTTCACCTCAGCCCCTAGGGTGGTGGCAGCGTGCTCAGTTTAGAAATAAAGAATCTAAGGCTCAGGCAGATTACGAACAGCCTGCCCAAGGTCATCCATTTGAATGAATGGCTGAAACTGAGAGGACTTAAGGCAATGCTTCTCATGGTCAAATAAGAGCTGCCCACCAAGCTTCTTGTTAGAAATGCAGAATCCCTGCCCAGTAATCGGCATTGTAACATGCTCCTCAGGAGACTCGTATGCATGCTAGTGTGGGCAGCACCTGCTTTAAAAGATGGTTATGTCTTATTATATAATGCTTTCCCCCAGTCCTGGGGACAGAACTTCTCTGACTGTTTGCTGAATAAAGGGACAATCGATGCCTGAGTAATGAACTCAATAAGCCTCCAACACTTCTGCTCAGGAGCACTAATAGGGATGGAAATTCACCAACTATCAGGCCTGAAAAAACTTTGGTGCGAATTACATGCTGGTTCACAAATTTTTATCTAGACATAAAATGCGGAGGAATTAGAGCACTTTTAAAAACTAAAGTGGTAAAAGCCTAGCTCGCTACTGAATGCCAGAGGATTCTGTAACACATACTGTTCTAAAATTTGTCTGGACTCATTAACATTTCTAAATATAAGTGCTCATTACGCTGTTAGCGTTAAATGTTGTACCAAATAACTATGACTCCTGCTCTGCAAAAATCAAAGTATAATACTGATTTTCCAGCTCTGTGACAGAGGAACAGAGTATGACTCCTCTCCAGGAGCAAATTGAAAGAGCTATCCTTTTCCTCCTGGTAGAGGTGGCAAGAAATGACCAGATGCAGAATGGCTTAGAGGAAACACAGCACTGGAGGGGAGGCTCTATCGCCTTCCAGAGATCCCTGCATTCATTAGATAAACATTTTTGGATGTCAAGTGTATACTGGGCTCCTTGCGACACCCTGGGGATGGAAGCCAAATTTCCTGCACTCAAGGAACTCACAGAACAAAACCAAATGATGACAATAAAGATGCTGGAAAGGCTTTCTAGGAGAGGGGATGCTTGAAATATGAGCGGCCATCTGTGAGGTGAACACAGGTGGGAGGGACGTTCCAGAGACAGGAAGGGACAGAGCAAAGGCCTCACCCAAGGCCCAGCTCAGCCAACCCATCAGCAAGCCTGGGCAGCTCTTCCTCCAAAACACGCCCCAATCCCGCCTCCCTCTTTGCTGTCAGCAGCAGAAGTCTCTTATGGACACAAGTTATGGTCCATGACCAGTCTCCCTACTTCCACCCTTGTGCCCCTCAGTTCATTCTCCACACAAGAGTATGAGTGATACCAGCACTCCTTGCTGACAACCATCCCATGGCTTCTTGCTGTGCCTGGAATAAACCCAAACTCTTTGCCATGGCCTGCCCACTTCTCCACTCCTGGCTGCCACCCTCCTCCCACCCATGCCAGCCTGTGCACGTGCCGTTGCCGTGCCTGGAACGCCGTTCCCAGCCCTGGGCCTCATCCTGTAGGACTCAGCTCAAATGTCTCCTGCTTGGAAAGGCTGTTACTGAGCATCCTATTCAAATGCCCCTGGACTCAACACCACCCTGTGTGCCAACTGCATAGCACTCATCACCCTGGGGCTCTCTTGTGAGCTGTGTCTCCTGAAGAAAGGGACGGGGTGTGTCCTCATTGGGCATGGTGAGGCACAGGAAACAACACGCAGCAGGTGTTCAGTAAATACCCATGCAATGAACAAATGAGTAGAGAAAAAACGAAGCTGCTTGGGCTCAATCGGGTGGGGGACTGGGAGCCTTCCACATTTAGGGTCCACTTCTCTCCTCTCTAAGGGAGCCCTAGGGATGTTCCAGGCCTCTGGGCAGCAGTCTGAAAACCATCAGCTAGGCAATTTCTAGTGTATTCTAGTTCTAAATGTCAGTTGTCACACAGAAAGGAGGGAAAACGATGAGGCCTAGCAATGATAGACAGTACCTAGTGGGGTATTGAGGCAGACACACTGCAGATCAAACCAGTAGCTTTCCACATTCTGCATGGAGTTCAGGACATAGAGACGCCTTTCAAAGGGCCGGCTGCTATGGGCGAGGTTGTAATGTGGGTCACAGATGGTGGTGTCGACAATGACCGCGTTCTTCTTCAAGAAAATAAAGACCTGCAGGAGACACCAGACGGGGAGAGACGAGCACCCCAGAATCAGCGTCGGGTTAAGCTGTCCAAAACTGTGTTTAACAATCAGGACCACCTCTGTTTGGGCTTGAAGATATTACCTGATCTTTATCCTGAAACTTTTCTGTGGGACCAAACTGCAGAAGCCCCATATAGCACAGCCTCTGAAAGCTCTCCAGCACCGAAAAAATGTAGCGTCTGGAAAACAGAGGAGGCGAAAGGTTCCCATCACACACACTCTCAGCTGGAGGCAGGGGTGAGGATGTGACTCACTTCTCTTTTCTACCTGGTGGTACTTGTGCCATACTGAGGCCAGACCACCTTTCCCAACACCTAATCAGGCAATGGAGTGTTGATGCTATACTTGGGGCTTGATGTGGAAAGTAAAAGTAACAAAAGAGAAAAAAACCACTCCAATACCTGCAGTCCTTACTGGCAAATTTTACTTTAAAAGAACTTTGAAATCAAGTAATAAATCTACCAGCCCACACTTTATTGGTGGCTGAATTCAAGAGAAGCTTCAGTCTCTACAGCCTGGAAGGCAGAAACCTTCTCCTCGTCCTGGTGAATAATTCTGCAGAACCCTAATTTAAGGGCTTCCCTGGACCCTAGGCCACTTTGCATCAGTTTCAATGACCTCACCTCTTGTACAGAAGCTGCTGCCGGATGGGCCTGGGGAGAAAGCGGATCAGCGTGTGCTTCCTCACTGGGTCATTCAGGAAGTCCTCCAGGTTGTCCACCTAAAGAGGTCATTTTCAGGTTCAGCTCACCCTGAAGGTCAGGACGAACTTTTAGAATTGTGAAAAAATACTCACTGCTGTTTTCCTGATTGCAGTCTCCCTGGCCCTGCCTAAAGGCCCCCCAAGCCTCCCACATCTCTGCCTTCAGTCTTGTCACCCCTCCCTTCCAGCCCCTGGGCTGCACTGCCACAGGAAATACACAAGTGCCCTCGTATGCTGCCAGTGGGCATATGAATTGCTAAAACATTTCCAAGGACATTATGGGAATATACTTATTTATATTAAATAAAAAAGATAAAGAACACTCATTTCCTTTGAAGCTGGTGATCTTCCTTATGTAATTACCCTAAGGAAAAAATGTTGGAATGACCCACATATATGTCTATCAAAAGGTATTCATCAATATGTCATGTGTAATAGCAAAAAATTGGAATTTAAATGTCCAAATATAGAAAATATTATTGGTTAAGTAAATCAGAATACACATACAAGAAGGAATACTATGAATCTACTTAACATCAAGGTAAAAAAGTCAGTGATGTGGAAAATATGATATACTGTCCAGTGGAAAGAACAGATAATAAGAGTAAGAACAGCCTCAATTCAGTTTTTTTTAAAAAGGGAGGTCACACACACACATGTGTACACAAATATGGCATAATAAAATAGACTAGAAGACAATGTACCAAAAAATTAGCATTAATTTAGCCTCAATTCAGTTTTTTTTTAAAAGGGAGGTCACACACACACATGTATACACAAATATGGCATAATAAAATAGACTAGAAGACAATGTACCAAAAAATTAGCATTAATTATCTCTCTCGATGATGAGATTATGCAAAATTTCCACTTTCTCCCTTTTTTTCATATTTGCCAAATTTCTAAAAACATGTTTTATTGTTGTACCATAATTATTTGTCTTTCTATCTGCCTGTCTACCTACCCACCTACCTATTGATAGATCTACTTGAAGAACAAGTCTTTGAAGTATTCATCTTTGACCGACCGACCATCCATCCATCCAATCTGTCATTTAACCTAATCTATTATCTAATCAAATCCAATCCAATCTGCTCTATCTAGAAGAACACACCCTTAAACTATTTTCTCTTGACTGACCATCCTTTTGTCCATCCATCCATCTATCTGGGCAACTCCAAGTTTTGAAGTATTTTCCCCTGACCAGGTGAGTAAAGAGACCAGCCCCCAGGACATGTGATGACCCCAGTACCTTGTAGCTAACTTGCACAACCTGGACGAAGATGGAGAGGGGTAGACAGAGGAGAATGTCGCTGACAAGAGCCCAGCCATGGCCAAAGTCCCTGTGGACTGGGACAGGAGGGACAAAGCGCATCCACGAGGCTTCATCCACGTATACTAGAAAGAAAACCAGAATCACTTCCAGAAGACAGAATGCAGCCATAAAGGTGACATCAGTTCCCAGTAGATCTTGGTTCCCTGAGCACAAACTCAGGCAAAACCCTTCTTGTCAGGCAGGAAGAAAGAGACAGGAAGCCTGGAGGTTCAGGAAGTTTGGATTATGTCTTCATTTTGACCAGGGTACTGGGTGGGGACGGGGCCAGTGCAGACAAAGAGGATAAGGAACAGTCGTGTTTCTGCCTGAATCCCGGCCTGCCCCAGGTGTAGGCATGGCAGGGCATCTCACCTGTCTCCGTGGTGAGCTCCACTTCAGCCTCCCGGGTGACACCGTCTTGTTTGTCTCTGGCTGGAGCTTCAAAGGGGGCCTCCGTGTCACCTGCAGAGGAGGAGGGCTGGGCCGCTGCCCTGCCTGGCTCCTGCCTGCTTGCTCTTCTCTCACTGCTGAGGCCTGGCTTCTCCATGGAGCTGGAAGGGTGCCCGTAGATCAGGTACCACAGGAACGTGTGCACCATTCGCAGGCGAGGCATTTTGGGCAGAAACCCTAGAGAACGCCCAAGTCCAGGAACTAAGGCAAGAAAGGGGGAGGGTGGTGTTGAAAAGCCCCAGATTGAATTCAGTTCAACTCATTCAAAAACTATCAAGTGCCACTATGTCCTGGGTGCCAGGGAGACAGCAAGTAATTCTTACTCTCTTAGAACTTACTTTCTAGTGAATAGGGATGGACAATAATAAAATGGAAATAGCTGGGACAGAAAACAGAGCAAGTAGGGATAGGGGAGGGCTGTAATTCTATACAGAGGCCAGGAAAGGCCTCACTGGGGAGAGGTACTGGAGTGAAGTCCTCAGGTAAGCGAGGGAGCAGGTCATGCAGACACCTGGAGACGTGCATCCCAGGCAAATGCAAGGTGCCCAAGGTGGCAGTATGCCGGGTACATCCAAGGAAGGGCTGGGAGGCTGGAGTCACAGGGTGGAGCAAGGAAGGAGGAGAGTACAGGAGATGGGGCCGGAGTGTGATGCATAAGGAACCACCATGGCCTGAGAGGCCACTGGTGAGGACTTATGGTGTGATAGGGACTATGCCAAATATTCCAAAATCTTGGTTCTTTTAAAGTAGTTTATTTCAGTGACAGAGGACAGGTGTGAGGAAAGGTAGACAAAGTAAGAGGGTAGAGGACAAGTGACCAGAAGGCCCATTGAGGAACACACTCGCTGCCTTGGGTCTCCTCGCATGCAGGTGCTGTTCGGCTGCACATCCATGTGCCCCTCCTTCTTCATCTGTGCTTTCTAACTGGGAAACCGCAAGAGTAAAGGCCACGCTGTGTGACTAGAGTCTTCAGAAAGGGAAGTCACACCAACTCCCTCTCCCTTGGAATCTCCCTCTCACTTTGAATCCCTGCCGTGTCCCACACCAGACACTGCTTGACAGAGTCTGTGCCTGGCAAGTCAGGTCCCTCCTTCCTGCCCCTGTACGCAAGCTGTAGCCGGGCAGGAGCAGAACACCCTGGTGATAAGACCCTGGCCATCCGCACTTGCTCAGCACCAGTTTACAGCAGGGCAGCTTGGTGGGGAAGGAGGCAGGAGGCAACACCGTTAGAGACCTGACTCTGGGAAAATCATATGAGTACTCAGATCCATCAATGACTGTACTGCCAGAGGGTTTGCGGGGTTTATAGAATGTTCCAGCCCAAGGATATTCAGCAGAAGGAATTCACCTTTCTTCACATTGGGATCTAGCACAATTTCAGCTGCTGAGTTTCTCAACAGCATTGTAAGGTATGCCGGGCAAGAATTATCTGCATTTTGCAGACAGGGAAACTGATGCTGGCAGAAGTTATGTGACCAGCCCAACACGATCGAGCAGTAATTCAGACCTGATTCTTTTGACTGCAGCTCAGAGCTCGAATGGAGGATGTCAAACATCATCATGCAAACAACAAATGAAATACAGTCAAACATGGCAAGAGGCAGCTTTTTACCTATGACGGGATGATAGCTTTTAAGGTGGGTTATGCCCGTTTTCTTGTTGGTTTTTTTAATCCGTCCACTTTCTGGTTTAGAGGAAGCATTTGGGTGAGAGTCTCCTGATCCGCTTGGGCCCTCTTTTCCTTGACTTTCTTCTTCTGCTTCCCCTGGGGGCACTGGAGGCTGGGAAACTTTAACCCTGCAGTTCAAACACAAGAGGCAATAATAAGTTGAGAAAACCAGGGGCCTGGAGAAAGGACAGGGTCTCTCCGCATGCATCACATGAAGCCACTGGGCCCTGGGGTTTCAAACTCAACTGCCCATAGGAGCCAGACAGATGAAGCAGATAATGTCAGGTCACTAAAACCTTTGGGGATGGTGGGGGCTGTTGGGGACCTGGAGAGGACACCTCCACCCACAGGGCAGCTACTGCCTTGTGAGTAAGGGAACTCATTGCGCTAGGTCTTGTGACACTTTCATAAATGCCAGAAATAGGAATTTTATGAAGAATTAATTAGCAACGGATTCAAAGTATGTATAACTAATATACAGCAGACTACACGAATAAGCATCTGCCAGCCACATCTGCCCTCTACCCACCCATGGGCCACCTAAGATCCAGCTAAGACTTTCTCCCACCCAGAGTTTTTTCTCAGAGTTTTTTAAGCCCATTAGATGGCTTATGAACAAAATTAGAGAAGATCTCAGGAAGGTCTTCTGAGCCATTATGAGACTGAGTGAGTTTCATACGCAGAGGGCCTATGATTACCAGTATCCTGTTCACATTCTATCAGATCAGAATTAAGAACGTTAGGATTCTTTCTCTTAAAGAATCCAGAAATTTATCCTTGTTTAGACTAAGCGATCATAAGCCACAACCTCTAAACCAGTGAATCCACTGATCTCACACAAATGTACATAAAGGTGTTAGGATTCTTTCTCTTAAAGAATCCAGAAATTTATCCTTGTTTAGACTAAGTGATCATAAGCCACAACCTCTAAACCAGTGAATCCACTGATCTCACACAAATGTACATAAAGGGCTTCTGTGAACATTGCTTCTGGCTGGGACACACAGGTCACCGCCACTTACCTATTGGCTGTGCTGGAATTGGAGATCCGGAAGCGAACCTGCTCAATGGCACTTCTCACAAGAGGGTCGTTCTGGTCCATGGACGGGTGCACAACCAAATCTACCTGCAGAGAGAGGCCCGAGTGTTCCACAGGGTGGGGGAAGAGCCGGGAGAGACTTGGCTCTACAGTTCCATTCCTTAGTGGGATATCCATCATACTTGTTTTCATTAATATTTCCAAACACAATTACACGATTGAAGCAAAATGTGTTGCTAAACAGTTTGCTGTTCCAGCTACTGGCATCAAAATCCCTCCAGTTACCAAGTGATCGAGCTCTACCGCCAGTGATTTGGCTGCTTTGCTCAGGTGAGGGATTCTAGCCTGGACACAGCCATTGCCTGCTGTCCTTTCACAGGGCTGCCACAGCCCACTGGTTCCTGCTGCTACCTGGTGGTACTGCTCCTGATGCTCCACTCTAGCTATCTGACCATTTCCCACAGTGACTCGTGAATCCTGAGAGCTTCCACCTGGAAAAGGTAAGCGGCTTTCACTAATCTCCCTTCGCCAGGAGTGCCACATGGGACTCCTGCCAGGCGCACTTCTGCACAAACTGGCAGAGGATTTAGAGCTGCTTTTGTTGTTTTACCTTTTCCAAAGTTCTGAAGCTTAACAGTTAAGCGGTTATCATTTCATTAGAGATACAGGATGAAAAATGCAAACTGTGTGCAAGGAAAGAACATGGACACCTGGCAGAGAGAGGTGGAGTTGAGCAGAGCAGGGTGAGTGACAGCTGTGCCATGGATGGTGAGGTGCAGTGGCCCAGACAGCCCAGAACCAGGATGTTTGCTGGTCTGTGTCACTGGCAGGAGAGAGCAGGGTGAGGTTCTCTGTGTCAACTGTGACAACAGCTTCATGCCAGAAATGGACTCAGATGGGTTTGGTAACAGGGAACGGGCAGCAACGCCTAGACGTGGACTCTAAAGCTGCACTTGGCTCGGTCTCTGCCAGTCCTCATTTGTGAAGTGGGGACCCCTCCTCCTACATGGCCAACTTCTCTGTGACGTGTGAGGTTCAGATGAGATAGGTGACATCTCAGAGAATTTAAATGCACAGTAAAGATGCACAGTGTTCAAATCTCCCCACTTGCCACAGCCAATGGCCCAGCGAACTTCCCAAAGGCCCAATGGTCAGGGCAGGACGCAGAAGCAAAGGCAGAAGACTGACATGCACACCCCCCTGGCTCCAGCCAACGTGGCTCCAACAGACCAAAGGCTGCCAGCAGCACATGCTCTGGGTGCCAGAGAAAGTCCTGTTGAGAACTTAAGCCTTTTCTAGAGGCACACATACAATATTGTGGCAATTTCCAGCTGGGAAAACAGGCTACTGGAGTGGTAGGTACCCTGTGGCAAGAGGCCCCCACCACTGGGCACTTCCATTTCGAGGTTATGTGAAACCCAGTGTTCACCTGCTGTGCTCGTCCCTTAGCCCAGCCCCTCGCCTGCCCCCTCTCTGGTACAGCCTGGTGGAAGAAGAGCCAGCGGCACAGCTGATACCTATGCCAGATTGCCCCTTCCCATTCCTAAACTGGGCGAGGTTTCCCTGCCCTCAATTACTGCACTAAGAGGGCTGTAAGACTGAAAGACCCACTCTTTGAAGATCAGCAGAAATCAGAGGTGCTGTTGCTGATGGGCTGCAAGTTTTCTTGTCCTTCAGTGAGAGAGGTTGGCACAGGGACCTACTGCTATGGCTCTTGGGCACGAGTGGCAGGCTGGCTAGGGAGGGAGGGGCAGGGTCAAGGGGACTTTATTATTTTACTTAAGAAAGATTTACAGCAGATATAGAAACTGATGAGAGCGTCAACTTGGCACAGTAGACACTGTTTCTTTGTACTGCTCCGTATTTTTCAAATTTCTCAAAAAACAAGATATAGTAAAACAAAGCAGAAATGACCTTGCCACCCTATTAAAAAAAATTATCAAAGTAGAGCTTTCTTAAGGCAGAGATTGAAAATGAAATCAGGAAGAAAAGGTCAGGAAATTAAAAGTGCTGTCCCACAGAACCAGTCCCTGTGGCCCCAATGCCCAGCTGCGCTATCGCAAATTACTCTGACCCTGAAAAATTTATGCCTCAGAATATGTGCAACGCTGCTGAGCTACAGTTGCTATGGGAATGGCCCAGACATTAAATTTTACAGAAACAGATAAATTGAGACAGCAGAGATGTACTGTCTCCCATCAGAAAACCCCAGCAGCGCATCCTAATTAAGTGGCCGCCATCGTTTCCTTTGGGATACGTTTCCTCGGGTGTCCACGGAGAATGCTCTTGCTGCTTAGTCTAAATTCTCCACCTTCTAAATGTTGTTGAATTTCTCCCAGTGCTACTGTGCTGAACTTCGAGATGCCTCCACTCTCTTCCTCTCTCTCAAGGCTGGCTGCGGGGCCAGGCACCTGCCCTGGGCTCACCACTGCACTAAGACCCAAGCAAGATGTCGCTCTTTTCTGCTTCCAGCTTCCACATAAAGTTGGGATAAACCCTGTTCCCCAAATTAGGAGGCATAATGGGAAATTCCAAGTCACTGGCAACAAAGGAACAACCAAGAAACAACGATGACCAGAGGCGTCAGACAAGGAAACTCTCAACAGCCTGAGGCTGCCTTTGTGGGCACCAGCATAGCCCCACTTACCTTCTTCTTGATACCATCCTGGATGACTGTCGTCCGATAGAGTCTCAAGAGCCCTTCCTCAGACAGGTTGCGCACCAAGCGGACGATGGACTTCTTGCAGCACTTGGTGGACACGCCCTCTTGCTTCTCCTGATCCATGATCATCTTCTGAATCCTGGGCATCACACAATAAGCAGTTAATGTCCCCAACCTCAACATGGGAGACCTTCTTCAACACAGGCAATGGAGACAGGCCTAATGGGATCCACCAGGAACGAGGGAGGAAGTAGAGGGGGTGTCCACCCACCCTGGAATGGCTGACTTCCTGAGATCTTAAAGATCCTCTCCTTCTGGTAAATGAGTGAGAGACAGACAAGCCACCAAGCCCAGCAGCTCCTCATGCTGAGCCTTTCAGCAGCAACTAAAGAGATTACATGATTCATGGCAACAGCAGCAGGGAAACAGAGCACCATGATGAAGAGCTGTCTTTAGCAGGTCTACATGCTGACCAAACACCCAGCCGAGGAATATCCCAGTCTTCCACGGTCCCCATCAGATCTGAAGCTCTTTTTGTTTCCTTTCTTGATACCTCTCACTCTCTAGATCTTACTGAGTCACTACGGTGATATTTCTCAAGCACTGATCATAGAACAGCAGGGCCAGAAAGGACATTAGATACACCTAACCAAACCTCTCACTGGAAAGAAGAGAGGATCAAGGTGACAGTATCTGCAGATGGTCCCCACCCCCTACCCAGCCCTGGTTATAGAGACAGGGTCTGAAGAAGAGCCCATGTCCCCGACTGGAGGGTAAGGCTCCTTCTCATTGAGTGGCTTTCCCTGGGTGCCTCAGAAGCCCGAAGATACCACCCCAGGAGGTAGTGGTAATGGTGAGTTACAAGCACCAAACCAGAGCTCAGAGTCTCAATTCCATTCCAAACACAGAAGCTCTATTTGTGTCTCATGATTTTTTCTTCTAGAAGATTCTGTTTGAACAAAAGTCTCCACAGAGGACTAAAAACAAAATTTACAGGTGATGCTACTGCCTAAGTTTCTTCTTCACCTTTGCGTAGCAACAGTTCTCCGGTGAGCAGAAGGGCAAGCGCACCCCCGCATGGCTTCCAGTGCTAGCTCCCCACTTCTCTCCCAGGCTAGCATATCGCCACTTTCCAGTGTCTACTCTTCAAGTAACAAGAACAATCTCTACATCCTTTCTCCCACAAAGGGATGCCACAAGATTCTATACAGTAGACCAGAGATGTGAGTGCCTCTAGTCATTTCTGTGGCTTGTGATGACTAACTGGTAGGAGAATTACTATCAGTGCAAGACAGACAGACAGACCACTCCTTACGTGAATAAGCTCTCAATTAAGCGGAGGTTGGTGACAGCTTCAATGATGAGATTCCTGCGTTTCAGCAGCCGGTAAGTTTTGTCCTGGCTGGGGCCATGCTTCCCAGTCTTCTGGGAGCTGCTACTCTCCTAGAGCAGAGACCAAAAGCACAGGATACAAAGGGCTCAGCAAGGATCGGGGGCCAGACACCACCCCTGAGGCACACCTTCCCTCTTTCAGGAATTTCTACTCCCATCTCTCAAAAAGGAAAGTTAGAAAGTCTGTTCCCCTACACAGGATTCCTCTGCCCTACCACTTCAGTGCTTTGAGATAGTAGAGGATCCCGGGAAACTTTATGAGGATCAGCTGGTTTCTGAACAGAAATTAGAGGCATCGACTACAGCAACTCCTAAAAAAGCAGAAAGCACCCCCAATGTTCACTTCTTCCACATGGCATGGAAGAAACTGACATACTGAGGAAGGACTATGTGCCAGTTACTCGATTAGGCATTTTTCATCAAAAACTCTGAGCAACATTATTATTACATATCGTTCCTATTCACAGAAGAGGAAACTAGGACTCAGTGAGGCTGAGTAACTGTCCAGAGTTAACGCAGAGCATGAACACATGCTAGCACAGGGCTCCTAACTCCAACCCCAGGAAGCCACGGGAGTCTCCCTGGGAAACGTGATGTGAAGCAGAGGCAGGCTTCTGAGCTCAGAACAGGATTTCCTGAGGAAAGAGGACAATGGGGAGTGAGAAACAAAGGAGAGGGCAGATCTGAGCTTCCTCCTTCTTCCCTGCCAGAATGCCCACTTCTCTCTCATGTCTATTTCCTTTCTTCCATGAGCTCAAAATGAACTTGCTCCTTCTGCCCTTGGATCAAAATATGTTAAAGCTCAAATGGGAACCCCACATGGAAAGGCAATCCTAACTCCAGCACATTCCTTGCAGATCACTGGGCATAAGTTAGTGCCATCCAGTGGCCCGGGATACATTTGCTCGCTGCCTCCTCACTTGCAGTAGCACTTTGACAAAATGGGAACACGTCCAAGGAGGTTCCTTGGTGACGGCATCAGGACAGCCAGACCCTGGCACACTCCCCTGCCAACAATGGGAGCTCCAGGTGAGGCACAGTTCCTTCATGAAGAGAGAAGGGGTGGGGGGGGAAGATTCAAAGATTCAGTAAGGGTCCCAAGAGTGGCAGAAAGACCTCTGTTCTGCCTCGCGTTTGGAGAAAAGCCACATGAGTGAATCCAGCTCCTGTCCATGGGGCTGTGGGACAGCAGAGTAAAATGTGCTCTGCTGAGTGCCTCCAAGCAGTAGCTGACGCCACTCCTCTCTGCAAGGGCACAAAAGAGGGACACAATGCTGCCATCACTCTGGGAAAAGATTTGTATCAGCCCCAAAAAGAAAGAACCAAGCTAGGAAACAAATAGCAGGAATTCTAGGCCTGGAGGGAGTGACTGCTGGAGTCGCGTGGACCCGACGAGAAGGTGCAAAGACGGTGCAGGGGGAGGAAGGCCAGCAAAACCCTCGAGGACAGGCTGGGATCTGCCGCTGGCAGGCCCGGGTCCTCAGTTAGTGACAATACCAATCATGACCACCAACAAACAGGAAAGTACTGAAAGGGTCTAGAAAATCCACCTGTGCCCCATCACATCTGCTACAGGGACATTACCAAAGCCCAGGCTTCCATTCCAGAAATGGAGAAGCAGCCAGAGCAGGGACTCCACATACACACGGGTTCCATTCCTCACTTTGTCATTCACTGAGCAGGCAAGTTACTCGATCCCTAGGGACCTCGCTCCCTCCTCATAGACCACAGCTGGTGTCTATCTCCCAGGGCTGTTGTGAAACCTGAATGAAACTGCAGCAAGAGAATCAAAAGCCAGCCCCAATCACAAGTCCATTCTGTGCTAGGTGCCTCATCCTTTGCTCTGTGCTTCCAAAGTACAGGAGGTGTCACTGGTGGCAAAAGTGCCACTGAGGAACTTTTAGGTGACAAAGGATGGCATTAGGTGAACTGAATCATGTGCTAGGTGCCTCATCCTTTGCTCTGTGCTTCCAAAGTACAGGAGGTGTCACTGCTGGCAAAAGTGCCACTGAGGAACTTTTAGGTGACAAAGGATGGCATTAGGTGAACTGAATCATATGAGAAAGGCGTTCCTATATCAATTGTCCCTTAATCCTTCTAAGTATACTGATGGAAAAAGTATTGGTTTGATTCTACTGCATCTTAAAGCCTTGACATACAACAGTATCTAGCCAGAATGTACTAATATAGTTTTGTTTTTATTGTATTTACTTCATGATAACCTTCTTTTTTTTTGTCTTTTTCGTGACCCGTAAGGGGATCGCAACCCTTGGTGTGGTGTCGCCCGCACCACGCTCAGCCAGTGAGCGCACCGGCCATTCCTATATAGGATCCGAACCCGCGGCGGGAGCGTCGCTGCGCTCCCAGCGCTGCACTCTCCTGAGCACGCCACAGGGTCGGCCCCATGATAACCTTCTTTATATGGCAAATGATATTGGCCTTTCGTCTAAAGCAGGGTTTCTCAACCTTGGCAGTGTTGACATTCAGGGCTGGATACTTCTCTGTTGTGAGGGGCTGTATTGTGTATTAAGGGATGTTTAACAGCATCCTGGCCTCTACCTCCCAATGCCAGTAACATCTCCCTCCCTAAGTTGTGACAATCAAAAAGTCTCCAGACATTGCCAAATGTCCCTGGTGGGGCGGGAGGACAAACCGGCCCAGGGTGAGAACCACTGATCAAAGTCAGCCATACAAATTTTCCCTCTAAAATAACCAAAGAGATAAGAGTAAGTTGCTGGAAAGTAAAACACCAGGTAAATAACAGTGCAGGTGACTTCTGTGCAGGACACAGGCTGTGTGAAGGGGTTACACAGATGAGCACCACCTGCTCCCCCTGCCGCACCTAGCCACTGCCTGGCACAGAGCTGGCACTCAGCAGGCAGCACTGATACTGTGCCTGATTCTGCTGTGATTGGGTGACTCTTCAGCACAGACATGAAAAGGCTGACATCCACCCACTACAGGCTCCTTCTCAGAGACAGTGCTCTCCCTGTGCGAGCACTGACCTTTGGGTTTTCTAGCCGGACCTCCTCGATCACGGCTATGTCACCACTACCACTCTCCACACAGTGGGAGCCAAAGGACACGTTGGGGTCTGAGGAACTGCTGGTGTCCAGGAAGCTGTCCCCACCACTGACAAGGCCCCGGCAAGCTTTCTCCTCAGCAGCTCCTGGGTGGGAAGATGGCTGCTTCTTCAGCGGGTGCAGGTTGAAGACTTTCCACCCACCTGTGGAGGACAGCAGAGGTAGATGAATCAAGGGGAGAGCGAGAGACACCTTCGCTTGGCTGTGCACCAGACCCACACAATCAAAGGGTTCCGTTTAGAGTCTGCTTTAAGACTAGAACAGTGGACCAAGCAAGATGTTCAGTGCCCCTTGTCTGGGCGATTCCAGATTGCAAATTTGTCATCAGTACCACCCTCCACACACGTTTTTTAAAAAGTCTTCTATTTCAATAAATAAATAAAAACAAAAATAAAAATAAATTTTCTATAACTAAACTAAAAACCTGAGGGATTCTTAAACAGATTGCTGGAGTGAAGGGGAGAGAGAAAGCTTATGAAATTTCATCCCTTTAATAGTAAAAACACAACTAAACCAATAAAACGTGCACCAAGGAGAAATGACCTGCAAGCAGCCAGCACATAGGTTGTAGGACCATCCCCTCAAACCCGTGAGTATGTGACACAAGTGACACCATCAAGCCCCAACCTCTTCCTGAACCCACCCGCCCTTGCCCCACCTGCCATGGCGTCCCCTACCCTTGGTCGGCGTGGAGTGATGAGGCTGCGCCCAGGGCCCCAGGCTCGCAGAAGAGCGCCCATCCCCTGGGGGCCCTCTGCCCTTCCGCTTGCCACTGCCACTGCCCTCCTCCTCGCTGTCTGACTCAGAAAGGAAGGCGTCTTCGCCTTCGGGCAGGAGCGACTCCTCTTGCACGGAGGCCAGGCTCACAGTGGTCAGGAGCTCGCTCCGGGCTTTCTCTCTTTCGTACTGCCGGCTCAGGTCGCTCTCCTCCGCAAACACACAGGAGATGTACTTGGTGGTCCGCTGCCGACCTTCGTCTTCCATGAACCCCTAGAGGAAACAACATGTTTATCACACTCACAAAAGACCATTATGCCCATGGGCATTCAGGTGCCCTGTAGTCTGTGACATCTATTTCTTATTCTAGCTTTACCTGGGTCTCCTCTTTCTCACTGCGTGGGCCCAGGTCAGGGGCCACTGAGGCACCCTCCAGGGTCTTCCTGTCTCCCCACCCTCAGGTCCTGCTTCTGCAGCCTGTAGTTTTCTCAAGTGCGACCCTGAGATGGTAAGCTCCTCAGGAGCAGGGCCCTCATTTGGTCTTCCGGACAGCTTCAGTGCCTGGCATAGGGCTTGGCCCACAAAAAGGGCCAGTAAGCAGTGTTTGTTACACAAAATTCAACACGTGCCACAGACTGGATAGTCAGGGCCTAGAGGGCACCAGCTCCACTGAGCCAATGCCATGGGCCCTGAGGGATGGGCTGTCACCAATTCAGGCCCATTTTATCTTCTAGAACAGGGGACGGAGGCTCTTCCTAAGACCCTTAATGAGAGAAACAGTAACATCTATGTACTAACCTCATGCCAGGGATGGTGCTACATGCTCTGTGGTCATTAGCTCAACTCTAATACTGCCTTCCAGCAAAATAGCCAAACGTGGGCAAGAAGAAAGTGACACACCCAGGGCTGAAATGGCAGGTGTCTGAATTGCAGAAGGGGAGCACCACACAGGCGTAGTAGTCAGCCACCTTGGTATCCCAGCAGCCAGGCAAGTTACACAAGTGAACGGGAGAGCACAGTGGGAATGGGGAGCCCTGGAGAGCACTGCTTGGTTGATGGGGACAGACAGACACCAGCTGGCCTCAGCTGACTGTCACACACAGGAGGGAGCTCCGGGTGCAGCCACATTGCCTTCTGACCTGTCAATACTGACCACTCATTCAATTTTTAAAAAGTGAAAACAAAAACGCAGTGAGGAGGAGACCTAGCATGCCTGTGGACTGCATTCAGCCCCTGGGCAGTCATCTATCCATCTCCTCGACGCAGATGGCAGGAGATCCAGCCTTCTGTCCCAGCCGTTCCTCCAACATCACGCCATGTGCACAGCCAAAGAAAATGAACTGGGAGGATGGCTCAGAAGGTTACCTTGACAACTTTGAATCTTTGAAGAAGCCGACACAGCATCCTTGCTTCCAGCTTTCCCACATTCATAGCCACTCGGATTTCAGCCTGGGAGATTCCTTTCGTGCCTCTGCGCTCAACTGTGAGAAAAACAATACACATGAACCCCAACCCTACACAGGAGCTGCTCTGCACAAGTCCATCCCTGCCTCCCTTTTGAAGCACAGACATTTCAATGCAGTGAAACAAACAGATAGAAGGAAATACATGCCTTTTGTCTCTCTTCTTCTCCCAAAACTCTGAACAATCTATACTATACGAATAACCATATTAATAGCTTTTTTTGAATTGCTTACTGTCTGACTCCTCCGTATTAAAATACTAAATGTGAAACGATCTACAGATGATCTAGTAAGTTCCAGGAACATCATGTCCTTCTTCTCCCAAAACTCTGAACAATCTATACTATACGAATAACCATATTAATAGCTTTTTTTGAATTGCTTACTGTCTGACTCCTCCATATTAAAATACTAAATGTGAAACGATCTACAGATGATCTAGTAAGTTCCAGGAACATCATGTTTCCCCGGCAGCAGGAAATTAGCCCTTTCACATGAACGAACATTTTCAGATAAATGAAATTGTCCCCTTTAAAAAGCATCAAAATAATTTTTAATTACGAACTTTTGAAAATGTGTACTTTTAATTTTCCTGTCTTTCTTGGTAGACAAAGGCACTAAGTACACCAACTATTGCATTGTCCTTTAACAGTTCTGCAAGCAGGGACTATGGGAGGAAATAATGCAATTCAGCCCCACAGTAAATGACCAGCAGATGACTGCCAATTATTTGCTCTGTATAGCTGGTCAGCTCCTGCCCTGCCACAAGCTCTTGCTTCTCAGTACTGCTATTCTATTTGCCTCTAAGAGGCCCTTTTAAATGCACTCTGCTAATCTGTGACTGAGAACTCCAGGAAGGAGCCCGGTTGGGGGTGGGAGGTGGACAGGGAGTCCCACCAGTAAAACATGTGAACTGTAGGGCAGACTTGGTGGCAAAGCTCTTTGTTCACAAATATTTTCCCCTTTATTTCCTGATGCATCTGCATACTTGAGGCCACCAGGTAAAATCAATCTGGACAGAGGAGGTTTTGCTATATGGAACCTGTATAAAAATAAACATTGGAATGAAAAGAGATGACTGGGGTGTGTTCCTATATTGAACTAGCAACATGCTAAAAGTGGGGATGAAAGGGTTAAGGGCAGCTTTTCTCAAACTGTGTTCTGAGGAACATATCTGAGAGATGTTAGGACAACTGCCAAGGAGCCCTCCAGAAAGCCGACTTGCCAGCGTGGCTTCTGACCTGCTGCTGAGTCAGACTCCTGCAGCCACTTCATCTTCTCCTCTGTACTGCTACCCACAGGACCCTGAGGCCACACACTTACAGCACAGAGTCACTGCTGTCCTACAGAAATTTTAGGAGATCGAGGGGATGAGTGAGGAATGGGAGAGACAGTTTTTTTGCTCCTTCCTTACTAGAATTCCCAGCCTGGGTGACTCCAGACCTATCTTAGAAAGCACACCTTCAAGTAATAATATTAATGGCTGTGGGGTTTTGTTGTTTTGTTTTGTTTTTTGAGTACTTTCTACGTACCAAACATTTTAATCCTATGTCATTTATCCTCACAATGAGCTAGTGTGGGTATTATCCACATGTGATGGTTAAATTTGGATGTCAACTTGACTGGATTAAGAGATACCTAGATAATTGGTAATGCATTATTTCTTGGTGTGTCTGGATATTTCCAGAGAAGATTGGCATGTGAGTTGGTAGGACTGAATGGGGAAGATCTGCCCTCAGTGTGGGCGAGCACCACCCGACAGGCTGGGGGACTGGATAGAATAAAAAGGGAGAGGAAAGGGGAATTTGTCCTCTCTCTCTTCTGGAGCTGGAACACCCTTCTTCTCCTGCTATTGGACATAAGGACCCCAGGCTCTCTGGACTTTGGGCTCCGGGACTGGCACCAGAGGCTCCCCTGCTGCTGAGGACTTCATATTTGGACTGAGCCACACTACGGCTCTGCTTCCCAGGTTCTCCACTGGCAGATGCCCATCATGGGGCTTTTCAGCCTGCACAATCATGTGAGCCAATTATCCTAATAACTCCTCTCCCATATGTCTACCTCTTGTATGTATCCTATTGGTTCTGTCTCTCTGGAGAACCCTGACTAATACATCTCATTTTATAGATGCAGGAACTGAGGCTCAGAAACCTTGCTAAAGTCATACCATTAAGTGGCACAGCAAAGATTCAAACTCACATCCGATCCCAAAGCCTAAACCCTTCAAGGGAACCACAGTGCTTCTGGCTGCATTACATTCTCAGCAGCAGAGCCCTCTCTTGCCACGTGGGCAAGACATTTCTTGACTCCAGTGCTCAGGAACCACATCTGAGCTGGCGTGAGAACAGGACTTACTGAGCTCGTAGGTCTGCGTGAGCATATCTCGCTCATACACAATGTCCACTGGAGGCACCGCCTTGGAGATGACTTCCTCGTCGTCATCATCATCTTGGTCGTGGTCATCTTCAACCTTCCGTTTAAACTCCTTCAGCAGCTTGAGGCAGCGAACCATGACGTCGGTCCCTGTGATGAATAAAAAGTGCTGCATGGAGGAGGTGAGGGGACCTGAACTGTCACAGCAGAGGTCCCGAGAAAGGCTGTACACATCATGTTTGGAACAGTTAAAAACTGCAAGTCTTGGGGCACAAGATCTGAAAATTTACTCTGTAAAATGACTTCTTATTTTCAAAAGGATGAGTGAACAAAGAAATGCAAATGAAACAAATGACAAATGCTGTGTTCGTCCTACGGAGTACACAGTCACCCTCTCCTGCTAGACATCAGCTCCGTGACAACAGATGACACATCTGTCTCTTCATGGTCTCTGCCCAGCACGCAGAAGAGGGCCACACTTGGGAGGCAGGCAAGCAGTATTTATTGAAAGAATGAAAAACATCTTTTTCCTTTTACCTAATACCCATGGCCAATAAGGGGTGCCAGTAGCATAAACGAGTTCCATAACCCTTCCAGAGCGTTTCAAGAGGCCTTTGCAGTGGTTCTGAGGCGGGAATTTATTCTAAGAAAACAATTCAAAATGAGGCAATGGCTACCAGTGTAACAGGTGCATTTCAGCACTCCACAGCCCCAGCTCTTATGAGTGATCTAAAACTCAGCCATGGGGGACTAAGTGGTGATGTACCCAAAGCTGCCACACTCACTGTGCCTGCAATGGTATGATAGGGGAAAAAAATAACAAGCTTGTACCTATGGCCATAACAAGAGAATATATAAATAAGGACTAGAAAAGTACAAGAAAAAACAAAAACATCTTGATTCTTTCCATGCGCTAACTCTTTTGATCCTAACAACCTAGAAGATGGATGAAGTCACTGTGATACAGATGGGTTAAGTAACTTGCCCAAGCTCCCAACAGCTTGTCAATGACAGAGGCAAAGTCACTCAGGCAGGGAACACTTAGATATCCTATGATATACGACAGTATGGGAAGCAAAATCACGGACCCTCAAAGATGCCCAGGCCCAGATCCCTCCGACCTGAGAATATGTTGCCTTACACAGCAAAAGAGAATTTGCAGAAATGATTAAGTTAGGATTGTTTTTTTCTTTTTTTAAAATCTCTGTTGTGGTAAAGTTAAGGATTTTTAGATGAGATTGCCCTGGATTATCCAGGAGGGTCCAACGTAATATTAAGAGTCCTTACCAGAGGGAAACAGGAACATCAGAATGAGAGACGGAAGATGCTACGCTGCTAGCTTACAACAGAGGAAGTGACCCTGAGCCAAGCAATGCAGGTGGCATCTAGAAATTAGGAAAGGCCAGGGAATGAACCTTGAGCCTCCAGAAGGAACACAGCCCTGCCAACATCTTGATTTTACCCCAGTGAAACTCATCTCAGATAATAATAAACATGTGTGAGGTCACTAAGTATGTAGCAATTTGTTACAGTAGCAGGAATAATACAGGCTGTGTCTCCACCACCTTTTGTCAGCATGCCAATGGGCAGAATCCCTGGGCACTACGGCGAGGGGTGGGGACACTAAAGCTGGTCTCTGCAACCAGCCTCTGTTGTACAGGAGCCATGGTCACTGAGGACCCTGCAGTGAGGTATGAAGCACCCACCCGAGAGCACAAGGACTGACATCTAAGGAAGGTCAGGTCCAACCACCCCCGCATGGCCAGGGGACTCTCATGGGGCTAGAGCACATGGCTTGCAGATGAAGTTCTTGGGGCCCTGAACTCATCAAGGCCATGCCCTCAGAGGAGACCCTCTGGGAGGGCTGGCCTGGGGCAAACGGTAGGCAGAAGTGTGGATGGCCTCAGTGGTCCTCAGGCCCTAGTCTGGTGCTGGTCCCCTCCATGCCTCACAGAGACAGGAACCCCAGTGCACGACATTTCATCAGAAGAAACATCAAGCCCTGGCCACTTTGCCCTTTGCTCCAGACCCCTGCCCCACCCTCTCCTGCTATTCTCTCTCCATCTGAATAGGGGAAAACCACCTGAAGGCTCGGGTGCCTGGGATCGGGGCACCGCCAGGCTCCCTTTGGGATTTTCTTCCACCAGCACTTCTGGCAGCTGGCAGCTAACACACCCTGCTTGCGGACAGACACTGACCACCATGCCATTCTCCATCCCACCTTCCTCTCTGTCCTCTAGTGAAGCCCCTCCAGATCCCACCCCACCCATCTCACTCCTATAGTGGTGCTCACAAGAGCACCCTATTGCTTCTGATGATGACACTGCCACCACCTACCAACCAAGCACTCCCTATGTCCCGGACACTGTCCTAAGGTCTCCTCCACATGTCTTGCATGAGTTGCTCCTCATCTCGGCCTTAGGAAGCAGGTGCTGTCATCCCCAGTCCCCACATGAGAGCACCGAGGAGCTAAGGAACTTGTCCAAACTCCTACCCCTGAGCAAGTGAGGAGCTGGGATCTACCAGGCAGTCTGGCTCAAGAGCCCAGGCTCTAACCCTCAGGTGACATATGCCCCTAATTCAAAGACATCGATGTGACGGAACAGCTGAGTGATCCAGTGCCAGGAACGCTGGCTTCTGCCTGAGCAGCGGCACAGGACATCACTTAGGGGAGACAGGCCCAGACATTCTCAGCCAACAGCCCAGCGTTATTTCTTCCACTCCTTTTTAACTTCCTTAAGGGGCAATTAGCCAGGAGAAGATATACAGAACAGCCCTCAAAGTAAACGCAGTTGAAGGAGGAGAATGTCACTAGTGCACTCATGGACTCACGGGCAGAAAGGGAAGTCCTCTTAGCCTTCAAAGATTCTGATCTTCTCACCACCAGTTGGTTCATTGGTCTCACCTCTATGACTGCAGCACCTGGCACCTATCCCATCAAAGCCTTCCCCAGTGGCACGGTGGTCTCCTCTACCGACAGCCAGGTTGGGGGCTCGGGGAGACCATAAGGATAAACTTGAGCTCCAGGGCCAGGCAGCCAGGGGTTTGCATCTCAGCTCTACAACTTCCTACTTCTGTGACTTTGAGGAAATTACTCTCTGTCTTCCAATCAGTAAAATGGGATGACAATGTTCTCTACCTATACAGAGGGTGGCATATAGCAATCCCTCAACACTAACACCCAGTACCTGCCATGAGCCAGGCACTGTACCATGGCCGTAATATGAATTAACCCTTCAAATCTCACAATCCCGAAGCAGGCAGGCCCCCATGAGCTCCATTCACAGATGCAGAAGCTGAGGCACAGAGAGGTTAAGTGACTTGTTCGAAGTGATGGAACTATAAAGTGGCAGAGCTAGCATGTAAGCCCAGGCTCTCTGCCTCCAGAGTTGATGGTGTCTACCAACACAGAACAGTTCTTCTGAATTGTATCACCAGCACCTAGCACAGGGTGGAGGCATAACAGACATTTGTGGCATTAAAGATGGTTGGTCCCTTATTACTGTAGGGAGAAGCCCAGAGCTGGCCTCTGGGTATGGGAACTTACCCCTGCTCTAGTTCTGAGCACAGGGTTCAGGAAGGCACCTACACAGCCAGGCCATTGGCCAGGGAAGGCTAAGGGTGATATCAGAGGACTATTGGCTATTTCCTACAATCACTGGGCATCGTTAGTCCCAAACTGACAAAGAGCACATGATCTGGAGGAGGTGCTGTGGGTGGGCCTGCTCAGGCACATCAGAGACTGGCTTAGTGCAAGGCTGCTGTGCTTCCAGAAAGCCCGGAATGACTCATCTAGATGGCTACTGGCAAGGTTTCAGCCCATGGGGTTTGCAGCTCTGCCTGTGCCACAGAGCTTAGCTGATTTCTCTGCTGTGAATCCCAACCACACTAACTTTCTTCTGTATCCATCAGTAAGGCCTGCTTTGTTTACCCAAGCTGTGTCTGTATCTGGTCTCTCAACACACATGCAAACATCTCCCTTTTCCCATGCCATGCCATGTACATCTTTACTTTGGAGACCTTGTGTTAGAAAAGCAATATAGGGCTGGCTGATTCACTCAGTTGGTTAAAGTGCGGTAATATAACACCAAGGTCAAGAATTCAAATCCCTCTATTGGCCAGCCACAAAAAAAGCAACAAAAAAAAGGCACATAGCAGGGTGGTTAAGAACCTGGACTCTCTTGCCATGGAGCTGGGTGCCCCAGCCTGTGTTGGGTGAGCATGGGCAAGTCTCAACTATCTTGCCTGTAAACTAGGGCTAAAGGCAAGGTCGAGCCATGTAGGACTGTGAGGAGAACTGCAAGAGACAAGGCAGGTGAAGGATGGACATGGTGCTTCGTGAGTCCAGGTTTCATCAGCACTTTACACATTCCCAGAGTTCCAGAGTTTCACCAGCCTCAGAATTTCAACTGTTACTATTAAAATCCCTTCAGTTAATGGCACCCACTGATCCCTGGATGCAGGGCTTTCTTTCCAGGAACAAAAGGCAGGGGATACAACCAGCCAGATGACTGCACGTGCTCACAGCACAAGGAGCTGCGGGCATTTTAAAGAGGTGGTGCTCCAATGCCAGCAGTTCAACACAAAGGAATCACGCAGCTCTTTTGTGTCAAAGAGCCAGGACAGGCCTAATTTAGACATTCTGAAGACCCAGAAAGGAAGAAGGCAAAGAGCGAATCCTTCCTAGTATGAGGCAGGCGTTGTGCTAGGTGTGTTCAGTGCTATTCTACTTACTCATTACGTGGATTCTGCATGTGATCACTGACATTTCAAGAAAGAGAAACCTGAGACTCAGAGGGGTTATGGGATCTAACCGCTGTCTCCTACACGAGGCCACCTCGCTGGACTGGAATTTCAAATTTCTAGCACTGTAGAGAGCAACTGAGAAGTGGAGCCAAGAGCCCGTGTTTCTCACGTCTTTGATGAAGAGCTCTCTGGCCTTCTAGCAGAATGGTGCACTTCACCACAATTAACCCGATAACCCGGAAAGGACAAAAGCAAGATGGGCACAAATGAGCCCAGGGCAGGTCTCCTCTTTAAAGGTTACAGGCAAAGGAAAAGTCTTACTGGTGAGCCAGGCAAATGTCATGTAAATTCAGAGTGTTAACCGTCCTCTACCAACACACACACCCACCCCTGATGGAGAATGG